AGGTTGTTTTATATTGAGCATTTTTAAATGTGATCTAATATTAAAGTATTGTGATTCTAAGTAATGAGTATGAGGTTTGGAGATCTCTGCCTTGACAACCTTGGTTCATAATCCTCAACATGACCTCCAAATTGATTGATTCTGGCAATCTCTTAATTACGTTTTTTTTTTAAATTTGTAACATTGATAACATTGATATTAAGATTTAAATGTCTATTCAGCATAAATCATTAATCCAAGCACAATGATCCAAACTAATAAGAAATTACTAAAAAGATTAAGGTATTTTGTGGAGGTATTAAGTGGGCTAAATCCCTAGTGCTATGGGAAGCCAACTGGAGGCCAAATTGAAAAGGCCACCAGAATATCTTTTAATGTAAGAGTTTTAATAGTTCACTCGAAATATAACATTTGACTCACATTAATGTGAAAAGCATTTCCAGTCCACAGGCTAGATTTTCATGTTACTTGTTCAACAGACAGATTCATAAGATCTACCCCTATACCCCCCTGTATTCTCATTGTATCTCAGTTTTGCTGCAAAGCCTATTGTTTGCTTTTATGTTACAGTATATTCTCACACCTTTTTTTATTTTTAACTTTACTTGTAAGGCTTACACCCCTAGTGCTATTTTCAAAGACTACCAAGTCCTCTTTTTTCATTAAATTATAAATGTTATTATAAATGATTATAAATTATAAATGATTTTCAAAAATGCAGGCAACATTTCCTGTATTCCTTTGGAAAGATACAAACAATTGATAAGAAACACAATTTCCTCATTTCATTTGATTGAATTTGTATCTTCAACAGATTTCTTGTGTTTTTATACAAAAACCCAGGTAAGCTAATGATACTGAGGAAAAAACTGGAGAAATACCTGTGACTGGACAGATTCTGATTGAATTGTATTCATGTCAGGGAGTGTCCAAATACTATATACTGTACTGAACACATACCAGCTTACATGTTAATATTACATACTTTATGGTTAAGCAATGATTATCTAATCAAAATAATTGTTCTCTTTTACTTTTCAATGGTTTGAGCTGGAAAATGGCGTTGCTTTTTGTCCCAGCATATGACTATTGATGTTCATCATTGTTTTAATTATTTTCTTCAATTGTAGATGAAAATTTTACACTTGAAGTAGTATGACTTGTTTTCTTGTGAGGGCTCAGCAAAATTGTTAACTTCTTTTGGAGAGCTGTATTAGGTTTCTGATCTTCAGAATAGTTTATACACTGAAATCTATTCTTGGCAAGTACAGTATCAGCAAGCATACAGTACACATACTGTATGTTATGGAATAATTGCAGGTATATAATGAAATTTGCTGATGAAGGCTTCATGAGGATATACTGTACAAACAATGTGTATGTGCTCTTTACTCATTTTCTGTTTTCCTTTTATAATTCCCACATAATCTACAAACTCCCATTTTCCTTATCATTTTTGAAATTCTTCTACATCAGTTGAGAGGTTTATTATGCAATTTTCTTTTGCTTCTCATTGCTTTTAAATGAGTACATATTGACTATATTGTCAAGCAGTATTAAGCAGTGCTTCTTTATATTAAATACAATTCACAGTTATCCTAATTTTTCAACTAATAATAATGATAAAAGAACATTTGTGCAGAAAAACAGTAAAATTGTTTTCTAGCAGCTTACAACAACTTTTTCTGGTCAAAATCAGACAAACAAATTTCACTTGCTGTTATCAAACAGCATGTTTAATGGGACATTCTATTAAAATAATGCTCTGTTGTAGATACTGACAAAGCTGAGCTTCTGATTTAAATTAATCATACATTATAGTGCATATAGTGCATTTGTTCAATTGTTTTGTTAAAATTTAAAGTGAGACGATAATATTAATACCAAGGAAAAAAGACAAAAACAGTTTTTACAAAATCTCCACATCTCTGGTGGCATATTTTTGCTGGACCAAGACTGATTTATGGTCTTTCACTATAAGACTGATATATCTTTCACCCCTGCTATGAATTAGTGACCATGGGTCAAAAGTACTTTTCTTTTCAAGCAAACCATGCTTGAGGCGTAAAATGAATACTAGCACAGTTTATCATATTTCTGCCAATTGCTTTCCTTAAGGTATTTTTGCTGTTGGACAACATCGACTGAAAGAGGTTGGAACTAGAGCAGCTGTGAGACCCAATTCAACTTGATTTATCTTTTAGAACACCCATTCTAACTCTATCACTAGAAGCACTGCAGAAATATTATCTTGATCTGTGACAAATTTTAATTTTACTTCAAAAACTGGAAAAACAACAATTAAAAACAATGAAGAACACCATTTCCATTGTACTGTAATTGTCTTGTGTTCCAGATATACTGTAACAGTTTTATGTTTTACACACACAGACACATCTACAAGTACGGTATATATGCTGTATTACAACCATATAAACATACAGAATAGAAATATGTTGGCTCATATGGGTTGCTACAACCCTTACCAGGAATTAGCTTTCTGAAGACAGGTAGATATATACTTTATATATATATATTTTATATATATACTTTTATTTATATATAAAAGTATACCCCCACACAAAGAGATGCACACGTATTCACACATCTAATTCACAGGAATTAGTGTGAATGGGTGCCAGAACCTCTTTATTAAAATAGCTGAGCTCAAGAAATTACCCATCTTCATTCATACAGTGAGACATGAAGAAAATTGTAGTTTTGGTTGGAGTGATAAATGATACACTGTTGAGATAGCATGGACCATTTTTTATTTTCTAACAATAAAAGATGTCCTCTATGCCACACATAAAGATATACACATATTCTGTAAAACACTAAAACCTCATAAAAGAGTAGAACCCTGAATCAAATACACTGAGAAAAGTCCAATTAATTCTATATGCCTCCACACTTTTAGTCCTCTTTCCTTATTAAAAGAAAACAAGATTCCCAAAAATGTGAATAGAATCATTCATCAATAGATTTGGATCTCTTTCTTTGAAAAGAAAGTTTGCACAGTGCCTCTTTCTGACAGAAAAATTACATGTTTGTATAGAATTTGGAATACATTTCTTTACAGTAATGTGTGTGTCATTGGGAGGGAGACATCAAAATCACCACTTGAACTTGAAATTATGTCACAAACATTTATCATATACAGTTACATGGACTGAGTACTAGAAATGTTGCTAATTAGCATTCTGAACATTGGCTTCTGAGGGCACAATGCTGGCACACAGAAAGCACTGAGCACTCTAGTCATGTTGCCAATTAGAATTCAGAGCCGTAATTCTAGTGTAGGGCTGATATTCAGAAAATGACTGCAAGAGGTCTGAGAGAGGCCAGGAATGCAGAAATAGCAAAAATATTTTGTAACACTGAACTGCAAATCAACAATTTTCAATTGTGATTGATAAAGTTGCTCAGATTATTAACAGACATCACAAATGATATTTAAAAAAAACAGATTTCTACAGGTGTACCTTCTTTAAAAGATTGGTGAGGCAAAACAGCAAGAAAAATACTTGAATTCTACAGTTTATTGTGAATTGTAAGTTTATCTTAGAAGTTTTGCAATAGATGGATGTAGGCTTCTACCTACGGGAAACCCATGGGGAAGGAAAATTGAAGGAAAATCCAAAACACTGATCTACTCTACATGTGGTTAAAAGGGGAGGTATAACTCTAACCCAGTGTTCAGTTCTAATTAAGATAGTACAATCAATCCTGAACTACTCCTGAAGCTGTAATTTGTTAGTAATCATTGGGTTGTATAAGAATTTACATGCATGGTTTTTGAGCTTTTAATGTAATAGTTTGTGATTTTGTTGCAACCAGTGTTGAATGAACAGAGCTTCTTGGGTTGGGAGTTGTGCGTGTTTAGGGTTAGAAAAAACATAGAACTTTAACTTTAAAAAGGGTAACTGTTGTATTTTTCATGTCTTAACTGAGACTTTAGTTAGTTTCAAGCGTATCTTAAAAGTTTTGAGTTAGCTGAATTGAGGTTACTACCTAAACTAGAAAATCATACTAACTCTATCCCCAGCTACAGTCTGGCCCAACATTGTAAGCTATGTCCAAAACCCCACACATACCACTTGTATTCTTACAGTATAATCAAAATGTGGATATAACAGAAATAGGATGATAAATTTAAAAGGAATTGTAAACCCTAACACTACCAAATATCTTGAAAATAATTCAGTTCAGAAATAATTTTGAGGCTGCACTTTTTTAACAATTTAGTTAATTGAAAAATATTTGAAAATACAGTAAATGCCTATTGTCTGAGGTGTCAATGATATGTTTCGTAAGAGTTTTGAAAACATTGAGTTTCACTTGTATGCTGGACTAGTTTTAGAGGAGGTGTTAAATGAACACAGTACCTTGGATTTGGAATAGTTCCAGGTTATGCTTAGAAAAAAAACATAAAACGTTGAGTTTGGAGTTGTTATTTCATGTCACGCCAATTCTTCGTGTGTTAATTAAAATGGATTGATGTTAGTTTCACGCTTATCTAAAAAGTTTTGATTTAGTTGACTTTAGCCTACTACTTATATTAGAAAAACATGCTTACTGTATCCTGCTATTTATTTTTACTCAGAGGTTTGCTAGAAAATTTTCAAGTTTTTCTAACCAGAAATACTCCTTAAATCTCTTCTTAACAGCTAGAGCGTACGCTAAGTAAAGCAACGGATGTAAAATCTTATTTCATCCTGAAAGGAAAGCTAAAACTACATAAAGCACAGAACATTTAAAGTAAAAAAGAGTACTCTTTGTATTTAAAATACTTTTTCTTGCAATGATCGTTTAAGGAGGGTTTACACACCCCCATACATTCATTTCATTGTTTAACTTCTTAGTGAAGCAGAAACACTTTCGCTTATTTTCCTTAATACCATTTTTTTTCCTTAATACCATAATTTATAGATAGTGAGAGGTGTGTAAAAACGTCATACCGGTTTACGTAAACGTCATCGCGTTTCTGCTGTGCGTTTCTGAGTCCTGGAGCACAACGTGCAACATGGCTGCCTCCAGTGGGAGAGTTTTAAGGTTCTTTCTAGGAAGATATTGCGGCTGCTATTCTTTGATACTTCAGTCTGGAATAAAAAATGTTACACGACAAAACTCGGTCGTTCCTGTAAGTCTGTTACCGTTATGTGTCTGCGATTTTGTCACTTTACCATATTTGCTAATTTCTGTCACTGAGTGTCATTGCAGCCATGGTGTAGTGTTCGACTAACACGCTGATTATTTGACATTCCTATAACACAAAAATAAAACAATATCAGAAGTAATGAGCAATTTGCAGAAACGTAGTACTGAAGTGATGCCGAAATAATGTAACAGATAAGACCGTAAAAAGTGTAATAGATGAACAGGACTTGTGTGAAAGTCAAAACCTGACGAGTGGAGAGTGCACATAAATTAGAATAAATCCTGACTTTTGTATTGGTTGCAAAGGATCGAATTGTGTATTTGTTCTATTTGAGATGTATGTATAAATGTTGTATAAATCACGGTTCAAATGATCTTAGTCTAAATGATAGAAATCCTCAGTTATATAGTTCCGAGAGCTAACCCAAAAATGCTTTTCATAAATGCATTCGGTCTTTAGGTAGGTTTTTTCAAGTGCGATTTGCTTTGCTGGTTTTAATCTACGTTTTAGAAAACATCGGGGAATAGTTTATCCGTTTCCGAACAGAACAGTAGGTAAGACAGTACCTGCTGTTAGTAAAAAATTTGAATGTATTAAAAAAAATAAAAAAGTGTTATAGAACACACATATATATATATATTCATTTACTCGTGTATTAATGGGTTCGTTGTGTTCTAGCATGAAGCAGATCTTAATATTTTATATCCGGAAACAATGCTGTTCTTCAGATGAATTAGTCATCCGCGCAGTGCCTTCCAGATTTCCATGCTTAATTGATCTATTCTCTTAAATTAAAAACAAATGCATGTAACAAACGACTTATCACTAGCAGTCCTTTGCAAAACAATTCGCAAAGAAAGACAGTGACGGCTTCCAAATCAGGCACATCTACAACAAGAGGACTTGCTTAAAATCAAACATCTACAAAAAATATTTTTATTCTAGAAGTTAATAAACTAGAAAAATGTCTCTTGATTGTGGCTAATTTTGTTTTGCCCTAAGGGGTTTTTCGCTTTGATGGCTGAATTAAATGTATTTAAAATATCTTTATTAGTAAACACATTTTAATGGTGTGATTTTCTTATGTGATCTCATATAAATATTTCAGATAAAAAGGAACAATAGTCCAGTGAAAGAGTTTTTCATGAAATATCTGCCGCTGTTTGATGCTAAATACCAAAGCCCTTTATTCATCGTTTTTCTTTGTATTTGTCTTGCCTAGGTCCTGTCGAGGTTAGTGAGCACTAGTTCAGCACTTCAACGAAAGAACATCGCTGCAGAAGGTCCTGAGAAATATACCGAAGAGTTCATCAAGAAACAGATTGAAGAGTTCAATATTGGGAAAAGACACCTTGCCAATATGATGGGAGAAGATCCTGAAACATTCACACAGGAAGACATTGACGTAAGTGCCTTACGACTGGATAAGAGGTGCTTGTTCCAAACAGTGACTTGTGAATATTGCAAGGGCTATCGGTAGTGTGGATTTTTGTTTCCATAACAGCTGTGTGCCTGTAGTGTGTTTTGTTGTAGAGTAAAGCATTTCCACATCAAAAAACACTGCACTGCCTTTCAGTCAATCATTTGTTAAAAATAAACACTAATTAAAAGTGATGTTTCTTGGAAGACACTTTAAGGAGGAAAATTAGGTATTGTGCCCTTCCAGTGTCTTAATGCAGCTTTAGCTGACAATACATTAATAAAGAATACATTCGGTAGATCGGTAAGATGCAGTGAAATAATAGCATTTATTCTCTCACTTTTTTACCTGTTTAAAGGTTGAAAAAACGATTTACTCAAATAAAGAATATAAGAAATGTGTTTCCAAAGTTAGTATCTGTATAATACTATTAGTAAACATCTGAAGAAATGTGCCTAGTGATATTCGTGAAACAGTCAATCAATATCTATAAAAATGCAGGTAGGTGAAGTATAAGAAATTAAAAGTATATTTCTTGCTGAGGAATAAAAATCTCCAATAGCTGAGAAGAGTGTTTGAATCTTTTGTTTGTTGAAAGATATTTGTCAAACTGTTTATAAGGTCTTATAGCTTTAGTTTTGCCAGTACAATAAATTACTTAATTATTTTTTTTATTTTTGCAAATGTAATATTTCCTTTTGGTTTCAAAGGCTTTACAGTTTTAATATGCAGAGCTTTTTCCTTTTAAGACCCCCATTGTCCAGTGCTATTATAAGTACCATGTTACTAATATATACTATCATCGGCTAGCTCTTTGCTGCTTTATCCTAGTTAATGTCGGCAAGGCAACAGAATTTTTAAAACAGTTTAGCTCAGGAGCAACAGCAAATACGGAGAACAGCTGGACTGTCTGGAGGAATAGAAAGCAAGAAGGGTCATTTGCTAGCCCTTAGGACTGTAAACATTTTTAAGGCTGCAGGATATCACAGATCCATTTTAGACAAACCAATTTCATAGATTTTCCTTCTGTCTGAATAATTAGATACAGTATGTAAACTTCAGGGAGAGGGCGATTGGCTGGGCTACTGTTTTATAGCAGTTGAAAGTGATTTGCACTTTATTGTATTTGAAGCTTGTCCGGGGATTGAAATTGCCATGTTGTAATTATTTGCCATATAATTACACTGTAAAAAAGTAAATATATTCTGAATGTGGATGAGTAAAAAGTGTTTAAGTTAGTGATATTAACTGCTAAAAATCAAAAAGGAAATTTGTATTTTTGAGACAATATCATCATTTTTGTTATTGTATTTTTCCTTAGTAAAAGCCCTAGATTGATATCCAGAATATAGAGAGACCTAAAAAAACAAAACTCTCAAGAAGTTCAGAACCTGGCCTTCCAAGTTTTGATAGAAGAGAATGAAACGCAAAAAAAAAAAAATGCAATCAGTTTTTGGATTTGTAATTAACTGTAATATTTGGTTAAGGATTTAGCTTTAGTCCGGACCTCGACAGAAAGTTTGTGTCCTGTTTTTTTTTTCATATGTGCATGTTAACTCATTCTTATCTGATAAAATATGTGATAAAACGTTTAAAAGCTTAAACTGATTTTTAGATACTGGTGATATGGTAGACTTTTCAAAAAACTATAAAACATATGCACATAAGATTTGCCAAAATCTGAAGAAAAAACCCTTCCATTTTGCCAATAATATGTAAACCTTCCAACTAACAAATCTTGACTTTTTCTGCTATGATTAATTTATCAAATGTAATTTAAAGTGGAAAAGAACAAAAGACTGGACAGTGGTAACTAATCATACTCTATATTCAACATTTACTTAACATTTACTTAATTTTAAAAATGAATCCAGCATGTAACATAAATACTGTATACAGTATAGGTCTCATTGCTTTTTCACAGGAGAAGCCTAGATCAGGGCTCCAAAAAGTTATTCTTTCATTCTGGAAATTCTAGAGTTGGGGAGTCTCTTTTCTTTTCATACATACATTTTTTCTTCAATGGAATAACTCTAAAATGTTTAACTGTAAGTCATTCTCCAGAGCATTTCGTTTTCAGATTACTGTTGGTAATTGAGAAAAAAATTGATAAAAAATGTGCAGATACAGAGAAGTGATTTGGACCATCTAGCATCTAGGCTTTTAGTTTCTATTTTTCTCTAAGTCTTATTTAGCTATTTCTTGAAAAACAGTGATGGCTGAGTAGCTTTTTCCTGACTCCTACAACCATTTGGATAAAACTCCTATAGCTCTGGTCTCCTTAATAAATGTACAGTACTTCCACTCAGTTTCCATATGTATCCTTTTGTTTGTCTTTTGTTGTTTATTTTACGTAGGATTGACTTTGCTCATTACGTGAATCTGGTCCCTTTGTAGTCTTCTCTTTTCAAAGCTTAAACGATTATTTTAGTCTGTTAGTATAAGGCATTTAACCGTAGGACTATTTCTAGATATTCATCTCTACTCTGATTTCATACCAAATAAACACAGTATTATAAATAAAGTTTAACCAGTCCACTGTATCTTTTTTAATGGACAAGTTTTAAAAAGCCAGTTAATGTTGGGGTGTCTAAACTCAGTGTCTTTTCTCTTTTCTAGCTGCAGTCTGATTGCTCAAAATAATCCTATCCATAACTAAATATTGTAAAAGTAAAGGGAGCACTCTAAGCAATACTGAATAAAATGTATTTGAAACACAATATGTTAATGTTACAGAACTTGTTGCCTTTTGTTTTTTAAGCTTCACGATGTTACAGAACCGATAGATGCATGCACATACTGTAAATGAAACTATGCGAAGGCTTCATATGGATATTCAATAGCTCATTACCATACTAGCATGGAAAGGAGCTCATTTTAAAAGACACATCTACAATTAGAGGGTGTAAAAATTTACTTTAATTGATTTGCCTTGCCAATTCGTCTTGATCTATCATTATTCACCATATTTCGTGATTTCTACTCATTTCTAATGAATAGAGTCATTAGGACAGGCATGCCTAAGCAAAACTGACATCTAACATCAGATGCCAGATGCATTTCAAAGAGATGTGTAGCGCTATAGAGACCAGTTTAAATAAATTAGCACCTGTACATTAGTTGCACTTACCGGTTATTTATAAGCGAATCAGTAGAGATGACATTTGTGTAAGTCATTGATCAAGTAAACAGCTGCATTCGACTGCCCAGCTGGGAAAGCTAATTAATAATGACAACAAACATGACCCACCACTTTTCCCTAGTCGATACCAGAGTCACTTCTGAATCTGTGACACACGTTAAGAAGAACAGTCAACAGTCTACATCAAAGTGCCAAATAAAAGCAAAGCTGTCAGTACTTTAGCGTTCATCTCTCTGTTCATGGTCAGCACCTTAAACACTAAGAAATCTGGGCCCTAATGCTTTATTAACTATTGCCAAGATCCTGATATATCTCTGACATTTAAAAGGCACCTTCAAGTCAAGTCCATGAAATTATTTTTCCTGAAGTTTTTGAGTCTGAGTTTAAAAAGAGTATAGTGATGATTTTCCATCATGTGCTCTTAGATCAATAAACGTTTTAAAACGTCTAACATGCTCATAATTTTAAGTGTATTTGCAAGCGAGATTTGGTTTAAAAAGAGCATATCTTTCTTTTGAAAAAATGTCATTTTACAATAATTGTCTTTCCATTTGAGGTTTTTTAAAAAATACAGTTTCTTAAATTATTTTAAACTTGTTTGGAGAATTTACTGTTTTAAGTTCTATATTGTGACAATCTGGTTCATAATATCTTAAAACTGTCAACAGGAAGCAAAAGCTTTAAAGCATTGGGGGATCTATCCACTTTCAGTAACCTCTTTATCCTTGGAGCATCATGGTGAGCTAGACCCTAACTCAATAGACACAGGCTGCAAAGTGAGACTCCTCATTACACGGGACCCCAGTCCATTACAGAGTACAGTATGTAGAGCAGGCAGACACATGCATGTGCACGTTCTCTCAGACATAGAGGGGGCAACATGGACTGTGGGAGGAGGCTCATGAGGAAAGACAGAACTTGTTGCTTTCTGTATGTGGTTTGAAAGTTCTCACCGTTTGCATTGTTTTTCTATGGGGTTTCTTGCTTCCTCCCACCGTCCAAAGACATGGCTGAACATGTGTGTGTTCACGATGGACTGCTGTCTCATCTATAGTGTAGTCTTCTCTTGCATCCTATGCCTCCAGGATAGGCACTGAGCTGCAACCATCCTTACCAGGAGTAATCGGCTTTCTAAGGATGGATGATCAGGTCTACAGTGTACAACTTTGATCAAGACAATGCAAAAAAGATGCTGCTATAGAAATCAGATTGCGACCAGAAGGAAACATGGGCTGAAACACAAGCAACTAAAAACCTATGACTTTGTTGTTTTCTCTGTTTTGCATTTCAGCACAAAACAGTGCACCAGTAGGATACTGCAATGTTCGGCTAATGATAGGTGTAAGCTTCAGAGAGTTTGAATTAGCGATTACTGTACACAGCAGGTATTTAACACATTCTTTAACAGAACCTTAGCATTAATGCCTGTATCTCAGTCAAGCTCCCAAGCTGTTGAGTTCTGTAGATAATGCCATATTGTACGGTTGAAATGTAATGTTATCTTAAGTTAATGCATTTTTAACTATTCTCACCTGAAATGCCTAATGTAGTGCATTAATTTACACAAAAAACTGTAACCCTCTCAATAGAATAGTTAATTTGGTATACTGAGAATGTATATTTTTGAGTGTTCCCCAGCACATATGATAAGTAAATTGTGACACAGGAGTAAAAATGTAGAGTGGCAATTCAGTCTCAAGTTTTGTGTTGTTTATTCCCCACACTCAAATACATAGACATTTCAATACTGTTCTTAGATTTAACACTTATTGCAGAAATCAACCTATGCACCTACAGTCTTTCACACTGTAAAATCCCACAGTCTGTAATTCTACTGGTGTTGAATGAAGTATTTATATGGAGACAAGACTACACTAATTTCTCACTCAATCCTGTAAATCTTGTAGAAAGTGGAAGACCCCTAAAGAATCTGTGAATAACCACATGTGAACTTCATTCCCTATTTCAAGAACCACCAGTATAGATGAAAAGGCAAATATCACTTTTTTTCTTATTTATTGTTTGTTGGCACAGCTAGCACAGTGTAAATATGTCTGGGGTGCAGTAAACACAGTCAAGTTATACGCACAGGGAACATTATTCCTGGTCCCTAGGGCCCTGCCATATTGCCGCCTGAGGTATGAACAGGTGCTGCGTTCATCTGCTGCGGTGTTATGTGGTTCTTATTTTGCCTGGCCCTTGCTTTTATGATTTCTGTTGTTTTGACAACTCGGAAGGCTGGAGCCTAATCCCACTTCAGCATCTGTTCTTTCTAATTGAGAAAGTTAAAGAGAAAACCTGCTAGAACATCAGTACTGTAATGTAATAGACATCCTTTAAGACAAATTGTCATGGTAGGTGACTAGCGTAGAATCTCTGGACCTTTGCAGAGTCTGCCATCTGCAAGTTCACTAATAAGCATCATATCAAAAGATGCCCATTGTTGGAGGGTTTTGGGTAGAGCATTTGTCTGCCACTTTTTAAAGTAAAGCGTTTGTTTTTTTTCCCCCATTTAACTTGGTTAACTTCAATTCCCATAGATGCAACTGTCACCTTTGGTAAAGCAGGCAGCGAGTGGCTTGGCAAATCCATTTTTGAGGTTAAAGCTGAAAAAACATATTGCCATTCCCCTGCCTATCAGGTTTTCATAGACGGGGACCTGTGTTTTGTTTATAGCTGTACTTGGTGAATCAGGCCAGTGATTTGATATATGTGTCTGAGATGCTAAAGAATGTAGTGATTTAACGTCAGCCAAATTAATGAACAAATAATACATTTAACAGGAACAATCGGCAACAAAATGCTTGTTTTCAGCTTTGCTTCCTTGTGGGAAGGAGGTAGTTTTGGGGTACTTGTATAAGCCTATTAAATATGATTTAAGCTTCCCTCTTGTCCCAAGTTATATTTAATAAGACAACATTTTGGCAGGTAAACTGTTAGTAAAATTCACTCCCTCAGTTACTGACTTAGATTCATATAAGCAATTTTTTACTGCATGCAGTGTTTTTCTTGCAACTCACAGCAAACAATGAAATATGACTTAAACAAAAAAGTTTGCTACCTAGAGCTCACCAAGAGTTAAGGAGCCAAGCTCACTTTTAGACAGACTTTGTATACACGCTTGTCTAAATATGTTATTTTGAACTGTCTTCTTAAAACCCTTATTTACTTCTAAATTCATAGGACTGAAGTAGTACACCGGCGGATCAAAAGTCTTTCAGATCCCCATGTGTTGTCTTGTGGTGAACTATGATCTGTGCTGTGAAAGATGTATAACAGGCTGTCATTATTTAACTGATAATTAGGGTTAGGGCTTATGGTTTAATAAATAATATTTAAAATATACTTTAAACATCTTTTTAATTTGTTGTCTTTAACAGAGGAGCATTGCCTACCTTTTTCCTTCAAGCCTGTTTGAGAAGAGAGCCCGACCTGTCATGAAGGTACAAGACAGAAAATACTTTTTTTTGTGCTGTTTTCATTTTCTGTTTTCAAAGCCAGATTTGCTTCTAATACTTGTGTTATTTGTTTTTTGTAGCACCCAGATGAAATCTTTCCGAAGCAGAGGGGTACATTTTACATATAGTTATTTTGGACAATAACTGAATTTAGCATGTTAAATGTGTACTTTATGGTGATCTTTAATTTGTATCCTTAAATACAAGCTTTGTTTTATTTTATTCTGATTTATTTATGTAGGTTTTATGTTAATCAAATACTTTGTGTCAATTTGGTACTATCTGGGTAACCAGTTGGGTAATCTGGTAAAAGATAAATAATGTTAATCAACCTTCAAATTCAAGCATACATTCTAAAAGTCAGTCAAACAAAATAAAATGTATAATATACAGGTTTAATAAAACATTTTACTCTGTTTTATTCTCATCTCAGTAAATTCAAAGCCTAGCATTTATCTTTTTATTTGCATGTTTGAGGAATGGAAATATAATTGATTTTTCTGTTTCTCCAGCTGTTCAATGGGGAGAAGATGGGCGTCCTTTTCATTTCCTTTTCTACACAGGAAAGCAGACTTATTACTCGTTAATGCACGTGAGTATAGAGATATGACCTACAGTTAGGTGCCACGTTGAAATTGTAAGGCACGTGATTTATATCTCACATTGTAACTGAAGGGATGTTTATTTTGTACCATTTTGTGTACCTATTTAGACTTCCTTAAAATTTGGTACCATACGGTAATTTGTACAATTTAAGACAAGCACCACAAGACCCTTATTTTAATGTATAATGGCAGTGCTCTGTATTGATCATGGGCATAAGCAGTTAAAAATGTTTTTCTTCTTTGATTTTGGACATACTTCCGACTTTTTGTGCAATGATACCCAAAATCTCAACCTGTCCTTAAATTTGAACTTTATCAGAAATATTTTCAGTGTAAAAAGGGATCTTGTAGTTTTTCCCTCTTAAGCACAACATTTTGTCTTACATTTATATGACTTGGTAATTTTAAATTTAATTGTCCACATTTGGACCCCAGAAGAGGACCAAAGGAGGATTATATTATGAATCAGCTGGAGTTCATTGTACATCCTACCTTGGAAGATGGTACGTTGGTTAAGAATGTAGGAAAAATGCTGCATTACCAAACAGCCCAATATTTAGACCTGCTTTACAGTATCTGTTCAGAGCAGTGTAATGGCTCATCTACTTTGTGGTTATGTATTCAATAATACAAGCTTTGTTTTTAACTGTAATGCTGCTCTTGTGCAAATATGATTCTTTCCTTATTTATGTGTTTTTGCCAAATGTAAAAACTGTGCGATGTGTGCTGTGCACACACTCAAAGTCTCAGAAAACAGTTCATTTTTGGCTCTGCCCCCGTGAATGTTGTCAGCTGTCCCCTCAGAACTTATCGATGGTGCAGAGTGCAGAGGTACCTTTTGTAATACCAGGCTAATAATTCTGATTATGTGGTGGTGCAAAATATCAAACAGTCCGGTGGCTCACGGTTTGAAATGGAAAACTCATTGAACATGACGGGTGTTGCTGTATAAGCATGATTGTGAGAGCAAAATGTTGTGAATTCCAGGGAAGTGGAAGGAAGATTGAATATAAATATGGTTTGGTGATAAATTTAATTTTTGATTGAACAACCCGGCAGTGAGAAAACCCGTCTGCATGAGGCTGTGGGGACCTGATTTGGCAGTAGAGTGCCTAGTGAGCAGCATCCCCCCAGGGAGAAGGGTAAAAATGAGCTCTGTGCTGTGATTATATGTTCTGGTGTACAGTCCCAGCCCCTCGCCTTTTAATGTAGAGGGTTTTCTATTCCCTTGCGGCAACCTTGTCAGATCTCATTTCACACGCTTTGATACAGAAAAATAAGTAACAAAGAAAGAAAAAAGTTGCAACGGAATTAACACTGCAGTCCCCTGTACCCCAAAATCATATTTCAGGCTTGTATTTTTGACTTTTTAAAGCTTGTCATGCTTTGCAGAATTATTGTGGTTGCATTTTGCAACAGGGGTAGAAAGAAATAAAACACCCAGGGGACAGGCTCCTGTACTTTGTCCAGAGAATTCATTTTCGAGAGTCTTTTTTTTTTTTTTTCCTGTCGACCTTGGGCAAATGAGCTTCTTGCCCTGGCAGAAATGAAATGAATGATAAATGCAGCGGGTGTCTTTGCTGAGTAATGGAGCTGCGGCTCTGACTCTCCACCGTGCTTTACTGCAGCGCAAGGACCCCTACTGTTCATTTAAATAGGTATGTCAAATCTGCCTTGAAAAGCTGCGTGTTTGATCTGTGGAAATATTTGAGAAAGGTTCCATGTGGACTTGAGCCCCCCCCGCAGTGCAAAGAAATCATGTACACCGCACCATGGCTGAAATGCAAAATTTCTGTGGATAAGAAGGGGAAACAATACGTGCGTCTGCGCGCAGGCGCTTATTGATACTATCTCACATTTCACCTGTTAGAAAAGGTGTTGGAGTTAGAGAGAGGTGGTGCCATCACTGTGGATTCCTGGGTGATCTGCCAACAAAAATAAAATTAAAGGTCTTTGCCTTTTAGCTCTGCTTAAATGGTGCCCGTAGAGCACACGGTCCATTATTCCCCTTTCTGCCTCTGGTTTGTTTCACTGAGCTAGGAAAAGGGAAATAGACGAGTTGTGAACAAGAAAAGATTTGGTCAAGAAGTGTGACAGCACTTGATTTTTAATTTTGCTTCATTGGCGGCTCCTGTCCTTTCAAGCGAAGCAGGCAGCTACAGAATTGGGAACTGGAAAGAAAGTTTCTTTGAATTTCAAGAAAAGCTCTGTACTCGTACCCAATTCAGCAGGTTTTTTTTCCATCCATTGTTGAAATACGAGACATAAAATAACTCTAAGATGCCATAAAATTGGGATAAACATTTGTATATCTCCAATATAAAGCTTTGAAAAGAAAGATCAAATATTGTTTTCTGATTTGGATTCTGGTAAATGATGTAAAAGATTCTTGCAGAAGTGACAAAAATTAAATGAATGCCTGGTATTATTTGAACAGAAATGTTAACATCTGTTTCTTGAATACATTTGCCTTTCTACAGAATTGTAACATAAATAAAAAATCTGAGAAACACTACTAACCAATTGAGAAACTTATTGTAGTTGCCATATTAAGTATTTTGTTCAGACAGCTAATTTGTTTGAATGCATAATTTAAAAGACTTTGAATTGAAACTTGGAAGAAGCTATATGTTATGTCTCAAGGTCCAAATGGAAATTCTTTTTTGAGAAGAAACTTTGTTATATATTTCAAGACCTTGGAGAGAATGCTTTATGTATCTCATTCCCTCTATAAATTTATTGCACTGTTTTTTCATAGTTCATCTATCATAAACATATTTTTTTAGGATACAAATGCAATTGGTTTTCAAGTTAATTTGGCAAATGGTCACTCAGTGCTTCTTTTGAATAAGAGGAAAGATTTGAGGGCAGCAAAACTCTTCTTGTTCTGTTCAGATTTTACGTGAACCCAGCTGAGTACATCTGGGCTGTTTTTCACCGACCTTTTAGGGTTGTCCCACCTTCTTGGAAATTACTAGAACATTTTATTCAACCCCAACCTTATCTTACCAATTTCAGACAGTTCAACTCCATTAATAGAAGCTCCCAGACTGTTCATGAATGGCACAGCCTGGAGTAAAAACTGCTGCCTTCAGCCTTGTCTTGCATTCTGGGTGGGAAGGTATTTGCTAGCCATTTAGGAGCTTTACTGGATGTGCACTTTTCGGAGTCGGAAACAGGCTGCAGTCCCTCAGGCCATGGTTTGGTGATCTCATTCATACAATGTGTAAACTCGTAGCTGCCTTCCATTTACCATAGACAACACCAGTGTTAAATATTTGATTGCACATCAAAGGGTTACAGTTAATCTTTGTAACTTTATTCACAGCTTTGTCAACTGTAGCGGCCTCCGTCACTATTGATTATTCCACATGAAATGAGACATGAAGTTTGTGTATATATTTCCTACAGAGACATGAATACACAAGGCTTTAGAGAGGATAGAAAAAGTTTACATGGAAAAGATTCTCGGTAGCCTTTGCTTGAAGCCAGTTTTATTGTTAATCCTGTTGGGAAGTAACTGGTGATCAATAGGCAGTGAGACCTTTAACCTCTACTATAAAGTGAATATGTCACTCTCTAATCAATAACAATTTGTTCATTGAAGCCATGTTAATAAACACAGCTGTTGTGTTACATAGAATATTTGAGATATGTTAACTATGCTATGCTGTTACTTAGAAAATGATAACTAAAATGTTAAAACATATAATGTCAAACATGTTTAAAATGGTAGTACAGTATACAGTACTGTATTTATACCTATATTAGTGTTTTAGGTTGCTCTTGTTAATAGTTTTTTAAAGTGTTCTTTAGGGCTCTTCTTTAAAGTCCATAAAGCTTTGTTTCGTAATTACATAATTGTAGTACTTTATCAATTTATTATAATATTACCTGAAAAAAATACAGAATTTCCACATTTCACACTGTTACAGTGCCTTGAGCTGGAGGGGGAGAGCCACCAGACTCTGAATATTTGCTCATACTTGTAAATATGAGGAAACGCCTATGACACATTGTTCCAAAATCAGAAAACTGTTCTGTTTTTGTACTACATGTACTACTTTCTTCAGACAGTTTACACTGTGAAATGTAAACTCTGTAGTATTAAAGTATAAGGTTACTATTCCTGTTTCCTTGGGAAAAGAATTTAGAGATAAGTGTTCCTTTTAAAATCAAGTTACCTGTATGTATAGTATAATTTGACTTTCATTATTTTTAATAATGTAAAATATTTTTTTTAGTGAAAATGGTCCTTATGTGTATTTTCAAATGAATGGTTTCTTGGAACAAGGCAAGAGTTCATTAGCCTTTTGTGTTGTCTCCCTGATTGGTATGAGAAGTAAGTGCCTCTAAATTCCTTATTGTGATAGCAGTGTTGCAGTGTGGAGTATGGATACAAAATGTAGGGTCAAGTCCCTGAAAAATAAAATTATTAAGGTATAGAGAAATGAAACTACTGAAGTTATAACTCTGTTAGACTGTAACAATAACAATGTTTAAGAAAAATTATAAACTGCACAAGCATTCATTCCTACTGATGCAGGCATTTCACTAAGGCTGGAAACCAAACTAGACTCTAGACTTAGGGCTTACCCTACACATAATGGAATATTTGAATGTATACAATGTATATTAAAATAGAAAAGGAAGTATAGATATCACTTGTTTAAACAATTAAAACTTTTAGAGAGGATAGAATTGTCTAGAGAAAAGCTGTGAGCATTCCGGTTTCTAGCCTGCTTCTGCAGTGGTGCCATTAAATGTTGAAACGTAACCTATTATTCAGTTTGCTGAGTCTAGTCTGTGTTCACTTCTTTCAAGTTTCTGCAGTTATATTGTGAATGCCATGTAGACAGAAATAAACTCCCCTGCTGAGGGTTCTGGGAAGAAGCCTGATTTTAGAGATCTGTGGCACGAGTTTGACAGTGAGTGTATTGCCCACTAGCCTTCATAGACTGTACCATCTTGCACTGCTAGCACAGCCCCCTTGTAGATGAAACAGCTTGGCAGAGACTCAGCGCTGTACTTGGAGCAATGCTTGCGTGACGAAGCCATAGAGCTGTAGCAGCTAAGTGTAAAAGCTCATATGATACACTCCGACATTCCTTCAGGCAAGAGATCATTCACATTTCAGTCATGATAAAGAATGTGAACGTGTGCTTTGGAAACAAAAGGTTGGGGTTTCCTTTCACTCATTCAGTACTTGAAATCTTAAATGCTGAAAACCAATATAAGAACAAAGCATATCCAGCTCAGAAAATTCATTTCTCTGTGAACTGCATCTTTCAAATATTTAGGCTTTTTGAATTTATTTAGTCACACTGAAGTGGCATTTTCAGAAAGGTGTTAAATAAACTCAGCTTCCTTTTTTATTATTTTTTTTTGTGAGTGGAAAATTGGTTTTTGCGTGATGTTTGCTTTTCGATGAGTGTTGGAGGATTAAATGCACACTATCAAGAAAGAATTAAAGCAAACATCTGCAGAATAATTGACAGGGAAATGAATTCTCACACTGGGGTTCACGATTTACAACGTGACAAGCATTCATTTGTAAGGTTGACTAAATGTAATCCATGAAATGCGCAGTTGATGGGCACTCTAAGCTCACAGGCTTGATGCCAATTTAGACAAGCATGTCAGCGCACTGCAGCTTGCTCTGCATCACAGACTTTGTTAAAAGAGGGAAAAAATGAGAGTAGTTTACTCACAAAATTCAATTTCTCAGACAATTAAATACATTTAGGTTTTATAAAGAGATGTAATCTAGTTACATTTATTAAATATTAAATATAAGTCCAGTTTGTATGTCTACTGTATTTAATATATGTATAGTATATAAAATATGCTTCAAAATACTGCATACCAGCTGGTCACTAGTGTTAGGACTTTCCTAAAAGAAGGGGTTTCTGTATGTACCTGCAAACTTACTAACATCAATTTTGCTGCCTGGTTATTTGTTTTAAGTAGATGTTATAGTGTTTTTAAGGACATGTTGTAATTGTGATGTGAAATAAACGGTGTCTGAGGCAGTTGCTTGTTCCTTTGCATGTCCATATACGCCAGTGTATAAGAAGCACACACTTTCATTCTCGACAGTTTATTTTTGTTTATTTTTGTTCTTGTGTTTGCAAATTCTAGCCCTCACACAGTGTTCAGTGTGTTTAAAGGGGAGTGTTTATCATGATAAATCTGAATAATATAACGTGGGAGAGGATAGGAAAGTGCAAGTTGATTTTGAAAGTAATGTTTAGGTTACTTTACAGAATATTGTGTTTTTAACATAGCATTTTTTAATTTTTAAATCCATAGCTGTTGTCCTAGAGCTTAAATTGCACAGTATAAAACATGGTTATTTTTCTTTTTTTTCAGTCATGCCTTGGTAATCCCAGATATGCTTTGAACCTTCTGGTTAAAACCTGTGTTTTATCTTTGACTTAGTGTAGCTTTAATATAATCAGTGGTTAAGGAAACATACAGTATGTCTTTGTGTTTCCTGAACTTGTGTGCTTCTTGGGTGTCTGCAGTTAATAGTGCTCTCAGAGGCAAAGAAGAGGCTCCTTACCTGATGGAGTACAGACATTTTCATAGCATCACTCCACTCCTTTTCTGTTTCTTTGCAGGACACGTACGAAAAGTTTTTGAACATTGAGAAATACCAAGACCAGATGAGATCCAAGGGCCTTTTTTCTCAGGATACAAAACAAATGTAAGCAAGTCACTAGTTGATATAAGCAGACGGGACACTGTTTCAGTCTTTATCTGAAAGTAGTTAAAATAATATTTCTGAAATATATTTTCAGTTTTAAGCTACTGTTCGCTTACTTTTTGTGCAAAAAACATTGCAGATCTTGTCTCCATGTACTGTATTTCATGAGGATAGCCCAAAAAGGATTCTTTTGCATAAAGAGCCAGTATGTTTGGCACACCCTTACTAAATATTTTACTAGTAAAGGTACTCTTTAATCACTTCTAGATGAATAAATCAAAAAAACATAGTGAAAAATTAAATGTATTCACACCAGTTTCTAAACATTCATTGAACGTTATTACATAAGAGACTATGTAAAGACAGATATTTTTTCTCGAATCACGTCCACTTAAATATGATCAAATATTTAAATATTATCAAATATTTAAATAGTTAAATATTGATGTTTCATAAATGTTCTTGTTTTAAAATAACTTTTAAACCATCTGAGTAGAGTAAAATGGTTTTAAAATTGTATAGTCACTGGTTATAGAATATTTTATCTCTGTTAACTTCATATGGGCACTTTTAACATTTTTGTCTGAACATTGTCATTTGTTTTTCTCTTAAAAATAAATGCAGAACCCTCATAGGGAGCAGATGGCTTTCAAAGGAGGAGCTGGAGGAGGTTCTTGTTGAGCCCATTTCTGAGCTTGATGTAAGAAGGGTTTTTTATTGTTAAATAAAACCTTCTATCGCCTAGATGCATATGTATCTTAGGCAGTGGTATATTGTCTTTATTTAGTGTGCCATTACAGCTGATATCTGTGTTCATAAACATTAATTAGCCTTTTCTGTTATAAGACATTTGTTGATATGGGCGGATGTTTTAAAATTAAATTTAAAAATTGAATAAGAACCGTTTCAAACATCAGGAGGCTACTTTGTCCATCTAGCTTGTTTAGTGGTACCTAAATGATACAAGCATCACGTCCGGTCAGTTCTTGAAGAAGACTTTGTATTGACATTCACAACATGGTTGTGTAGCTTGTTCCATACAATCCCACATCCCTTTGGGATTTTCAATATTTGTATCAAGTCTCATAATCTTTTCTGTTCAAGATCAAAAAGGTTCCTGTTCCTTTACCCTTTCAGTACGGAACATTCCCTTAAGCTACGAAAAATATATTTTACCTTTTCTTGCGTTTCTGGCCTAGAATATTTTGTCCATCTAGGAAAGTGTTAACCTGCATTTTGAAATGCACAGGCAGCAGTTTTAAAATGAGACACCAGAGGGTGTTATGAGTCAACTTTATTACAAAAAGACTATAGTCTTGTCAATTAAGCATTTTTTAATCATTTACTTACATGTTAATTAACATATACATGAGTTTGACTTGATAATTTCAGGTTAAAGGAAAAAAATCCACAGAAAAGAAATTAAGATCCATTAATGACATTTTCCTGGTCATTTGCAAGAAAAAGAACAACTACATTTACAAAAACATAAATAAATCATATAATCACACTCTTGAATGCAAAGCAAACCAGTTTATTTTAGATTAGAAGTATACAGTTCAGTGGTAAACTAACTTTTTTTTTACTTTCATGCAAAAGACAGTTTTGAGAGTGATATGCCTTTTTAATTTTAATGTGTGCTGAAAAAAGACAGTAATCCTTGACACTATTTTCTATTTGTTTACACAGTACGCCCACTTCATCCAGCTCCTGGAGCGTATTCTGACTCTCCCATACTGTGCTACAGAGGAGGAATACATTCATAGGTTCAGAAGGGAACTTGAAATACAGTCAAAGAAACAGAAGGTTGAACCCCTGCAGCATGACGATAATGGCATCGCCTTTAGTGTTGGAGAAGGTTTATACTCAGTTTTTACACTTCTGTATCTTCAACCATGTGGGTTAATCAATCACATCTACAGATGTTCGAGATGAGTTTTATGATCGTAGACAAAGGTCAGCCCGTCCGGTCTTTCCAGTGCAAAATGCTTTAATTCACACTGATATCGACACAGAGCACTTCAAGAGCTTGGTTTTGTCAAGTAATGTACAAAATAGATAGTATGAATCTTTCTTTGCCATTTTTATCAACGTTTAATTTTTCAAAACATCTTTGATCTTTCTACCAAAGGACACCAAAAAAGTCAGAGAGATACGATGGAGTCCTGTGCAGTAAGGATGAGGCTTTATCATCTGCAGCCCTCCTGGTCTTCAATCCTCCCTTCTAAATGCTTTATCTATAGCGGTATATATAGATATGAAATTGGAAAGCTTTTAATAACATTTCAGGTGCTGTAACACACAGTTAGTTGCTCTTACTGTATTTGAAGATAACCCATCTCTTGTGAGCTATGGAAGACTCTAGTATGTCAAGTAATCAGGCCTTCATGACCTAGAGTTTGAGTAATCATATAGTTTAATTGATGATTTAGCATGTAGTTACATTTAAAAATCATACTGTAAAGACCTAGTTTAGGTACTTATATACCATGTTATTTTTAGGACTGAATGTTTTTTCCTCCCATGCAGGCAGACGAAAGACTGCTAGTGCTGTCGCAGTTGTACGAGACAACGGTTCTGGGAAAATTTTAATCAACGGAGTTGACTTCCTCCAGTATTTCCCAATATTACAAGACAGGTACCTTTTTGTTCTTGTAGTTAAGCCTTTTGAAAGGCGTTAGATTTTATATTGTCACAACACTTTGCCAGATTCAAAACCTTTAACATCCCAGTACTGTATACATACTTTCACTTAAGTGGAGGGTTCTTTCTTACATTTCTCTGTATATTTGTGAATGAAAGACTGAGGAAAAAAATGCAGAATACCTGTGAAATTGGAACAACATGATGATATTTTACATACTGAAGCATAACAAAATAGTTTATGTTGTTCGATGATAGGTATGATTGAATATATAGAAACCACTTCTGTGTATGTTGGACTTTATATTAAAAGATTCCAAAGCATTCACCTCGAGCCATGAAGAAAAAATAGGCTTGTATTTTGCTCATTCTGTAAATTCCATTTCAGGTTTGATTTTAAAAATCGTAGTGCAGCTTCTTTTACATTCACCCAACAAACCTATGTTGACAACATTCTTAAATCCATACACTGACACACAGCTAAGTGAAAATATATCCTAAAATAAATCTCATGGCTGTGCTACTCTTACTTTCACACTGCATGTTCACTGGAAGTACACTTTATCATATCATCTCTATGTGCATTGTGTAGGCTTGTTTATTGCTTCAGCAGCACATCAAGTGATTCGTCACAGTAGTATTTTTCCACCCCAAGACATGTTAAACAATATAGCCATCTGCTGGCCAGTTTTTGACATTTCTTTTTCAATTCCAAACATTTCCATGGTGGAGATACTGGGCCGTTTTCAGGGTGCAAATGTTTATTGCAGATACTGTGGTCAACAGATTAAAACAATTAAATTCAGACCATAAAATACCACTGTATCTCATCAATTTAATACAAACAGTGCAATAAATAAATTAACCAATAAGATATATTAATCATATTGGAATCAGGGTATTTTTGGATAGATACTAAATACTTTTGTAAAACTACATACTACTTACTACTACTTTATTTGCAGTTGTTTCAAGTTTTAGTTGCTTTTAAAAGCTAAAGATCTTTAACTCGTTTCTGGCATGTATTTAATGTCACTGTAAAATTAATAGTTTTGGGATATCTGTAAACAACTTATTATAGTTATCAGAGATTTTTTTAATTGAACCCAATTTAACCTTAATTAAAAAAAATTTTTTTCTCACTTTGTTCTATGCTTGAACGCTCCATCTGCATTAGTTTTACTGTCAGCTTGTGTCCACAACACTTCATCAGCGTTTTCTACTTAGCATTCTCACCACGTCAAAGGCAGTTAAAATAAAAGTTGAAATGCTGCATTTTTTCTCTTAATTGCAGTTTTAATCTTTAAAAGTTAATTACACAGTTGAGTGCATAAGGCTTTCTTTGTCACTTGACTTTGCTAAGTTTGCAACAAGTTATTTTTCCAAAGATTTGGAGCTTTATCAGAGTGTCCAAGAAAAGCATAATTAGTCAGACTGACAAAAATAGATTTTACTGCAAATATTGCAGAGACAGCACAATGTTGGCATTGCAAGACTCAGAGATGAAAAACAATTGGGATGTGAATTGTGACTGCTCTCTGCTGTTAAACAAGAGCAAGAATGTATCCGAGTTATACAGGTTTAAATAGAGATGATAGAGTCTTATTGGAGCATATTGTGTACAGAAAGCTTCTCCTGTAAGTAGCTACTGTTAAAGATCTGGTAAATGTGGAATGTGTGAATCTGTATGTAAGGTAACACCATGGTTCTGAAATGTTTGTTAATGAGTACTTTCATAGTTCCACAAGCTACTAAATGAGGTCTGTGATACAATACTGTGAAAGTACTCGATTGGTCAGTAAAGCCAATCTTCAGTGTTTTCACAAATAACTTCACATGTTGATCCATCAACATACTAGACTGATGTTATGTACATTTTCGGAGGAGAACAGGGTGGAGTTATTGTCAAGGACAGTCTGTAAATCAACAGCACCAAATATGTTTGTACAGCAGATTTAAGCAGTCAGTGAAACATTTCTGGTCAAAGGCATGCACATCCTTTGCATAGGTTTGTGATGTAACAGCCCAATATGTAAAAACGTTAAGTAATCTGACTGTACAATTTGACACTGGTCTTTCTTAAAGTTGCATTTCATACTAATGACTGCCATTTCTTAACAGTAGTATAGAAAGGAGCTTAATACAGTGTTTTTCTTTCTCGTCCTCACTAGGGAACAGTTGATGTTTCCCTTACAATTTCTGGACCGGTTAGGCAGGCATGACCTGGAAGGTACTGTCACTGGAGGGGGCAGGAGTGCTCAGGCAGGGGCACTGCGATTGGCCATCTCAAGGGCTGTGCTGAGTTTCCTTACAGAGACTGAGGTGGAGAATATGAGGCAGGGTAAGAGGCTTTCATCTTTTTCACAGTTCTTGCGTCATATTACACTGATGCATGTGCTTAGTATTCTTATTTTAACCTTCAGTGTTATTGATCGTATTCCATTGGCAAGTTGTCAATGAATTTGTCATCAGAAACCTATATGTTGCTCTTCGGTTTCCTCATGTCATGCAAGCTAAAGCTCTCTGCTGAACTGGATTATCACCTGGAATAGTCTTCCCCACTGATGAAGGGCAGCCAAGACTATATTTGGGTTTCTTCCCCCATGATTAACTGTTATTACAAAAATGTCCAATAACATTAAAATCAGTAGATACTTTTGTATCCATCTGATTTGCAAACTAAATAGCTCGCAAGAAATTCAATTAAACTACAACAGGACCAATTGAAGATAAGACTTTTTACTTCTGTACTTAATGTTTTTTGTGTTTTTAACTGGCAGTTATTCCTTAATATTAAAAGGAATCTAATAAGAACTTAAAACCCTGTTATCTAATTTCTTCAGTGGTCATGACTGGAATTTGTTTAGCTCAGCTCTAAAGTTATTGATTAAGGTGTTTGATAAACTTGACCTGTGTCCATGAAATGAATATTATGTAAAATTTTGTTGTGCAACAAATATTGCTTTTTGTAATATTTATTACATTTATGCAGGGTCCATGGAAAGTACTGGAAGAGTACAATCTACTGTTCATAAAATTATTTTTGCATTAATGTCAGTGGATGTATATTTGTGAACATGAGATTAATATGAATCTCAAGCACACTAATAAACAATAGCTTGTGGGGTAGTTGCAGCCATTCATTTAAACATATTAGAACAAAAACATACTTTGTGCTCAACCCAGTGATTTCAAGTGAACATAAATATTGGGAGACATATACTTGAAGTTCATTTCAGGTTGTAAAAGTCAGTATTTTGTTGCATGTTCTTTTGAGGCAATAATTGTGTGAAGATAGCAACCTTCTGAACTCGCCATTTAAGATGTTTTTCTAAACTAATGCCAATGCCTCTTTCATTGCTGCCTGTTACTGGGGTGTTCTGACATTTTTCTTCAGCATGTAAAATGTGTGTTCATTCTGGTTTAAATCTAGAGATTGGCCTGGCTAGGCAAAGCCTTTTCATTCTTGCTTAACTTCTCTGTTACATTAACTATATTTTTGGGTCATCACTGTGTAAAGTGCTATGCAATAAGTATAAAAGCATTTTTTTCCACATGAGTAGACACAATGTTTCTGTTCAGACAGTAATTCATTCTGTTACTTACAACAGTAGTTAAATCATTAATACAGATGAGCTTGCCAGTTCCAGAGGTGATCATGCATGCCCAGACTATGACATTACCAATGATGAGATGATGTTCTTAGGGCCATTCCTTTCTTTCTTCACACTTTAACCTTTCCATCACTTTGTTAAAGGCTTTACTTGGTCCCACCTGTCCCTAAAATATTGTTTCAAAGCTTGCCTGGCTCGTTTTTGAACTTGTGAGTAAGTTATAATCTGGCTTTACTGTATTTGGTGCCAATGAGAGATTTACATCCTGCGATTGAGCATTTGTATTTCTGCTATCTCAGTCTGAGACATACTGGGTATTTTAATACCATCACCTGTAGGTTAATATTTTCCCTTTATAAATCCATTTGGAGTTTTACTTGTTTTACTTACAATGATCCTGCAGTTTTTGCAGTTATTCTAGTTTGCAAATATCAGTCATGACTGTTAATTCAGTTTTGCCCTCCTTTTATGAGTTGTTATATCTGCAGTTCTTCAATTTTTAGGTATAGCTCACGTTCTTAGTGAGAGCTGAAATCTCTTAGCTTGCATGACTAATGTCCTTCATTTCCTTAAATATAACTGGGAAGATACAGTACCATCAGGCCCTAGTAGGTTATTAGAAATGACCTATCACCTGTAGAACATTACTGACAGTTATGCTTAAATTATCCATTACTGAAGCAGTTCCATCTATAACATAGAACATATTGACATCCATCCATCTCTTTTCTAACCCCTTCATCCATTTCCAGATCGCAGGTGGGTCAGAGTCTAGTCTATCTGGGCAAGTGTAACAGAGCTTGGGGTTTCTGCCCTTGCCGCTCCTGCCCTGCCACTGCCTGCCGCAATGGACACACATTGGGATACACTGTGCACAGGGTGCCCATCCATCAAAGAACACACATTCACACCCAGGCCAGATTTCCCAGAAGTCAATTAACCTACCATTATGTCACTGGACTGTAGGAGGAAACCGGAGCACCCGGCACAGATCGATGCAAATAAAGGGAGAACACACAAACGTCATGCAGATGGAACTGGTGTTGAATCCAGGGCCCCAGTTTGGCAAGGGAGCAGTGCTAACTACTGCACCACCCCATGTGGTTACCGTTGTATTGAAACGTTTTACACAGGTTTATACTTGACATGCTCACAGTTTGTTTTCATCTGCTCTTATTAATCCCATACAGTATCTCAACCTACTGTTTGTATTTCTACTTTTGTAGTTCTTTTACTGTTGTAGTACAGAGAAAAGGATTTGATCTTTGAATCTTGGATCCCTTATTGAATGTATTAACCCTATTTGTAGCCAACATATAAATATTTAAATATTACAATTAGGAAAATAAGGTTTAGTACAGGATCAAAGGGCTGTATTTATTGCCAGTATATTTCATATGTACTGTAAGCTTAAGATGCTTAAAACATGTTAAAGGGGACATCATAATACTCAGAGAAACACTCACTGTAATAGTTTCTTAAAGTATCAGTATAAATCGAGTTCTTGTCATAATTCCAACATTCAATGTGTATCCTGCTCCTCTCTTCCGTAGCTGGGCTGCTGACCCCTGACCCCCGAGTGAAGGAGAGGAAGAAGCCAGGCCAGGAGGGAGCTCGCAGGAAGTTCACCTGGAAGAAACGATAACACCAATAATATGACTATTGAAATTACAGCAACCCTGCCTCAGCATAACAACAGTGCACTCTTGATAGTTGAAAACTTTGAGATGGTTAAAAATACTACCAGTCTGTGCATTTTTTACATCATAGCACAAAGAAGTTTAAGAACAAGTTTGGAAAATTTGGACTTACCTGAAAACATGGCAACACTGTGAAATAAATTTAAATAAATTTATTTGTAACCGCCTACAAAATTCATTTTTTAATCTGTCTTAATGTATATCTATATATATATACAGTAATGTTATGAGTTATCCAAACAAGTCCTCCTAGACATATCACAGTGTAACGTAGCACATACTATGCAAAGGACAAATATGTTGCTTTTTGAAGGATCCATATAAATAGCCCCCAAAAAACATTGTCGCTTTGTATTTGAACATTTGCATATTACATACTGTAGGCTGTTTCTGCAGGAGAGCTATTATTGGTTGAAAGTGTCAGGAAACACCTATTTAAAATTGCAATTTAACAATTGTAAGTTTTATATTTAATGATTATAGAAGCAATTTGTTTAATCACTTTATAAAAACTACAACAGGTTTCTGAACCAGCAAATGAAATTGTTGTTTCATTGGTTATCATTAATTGATAAATCAGTTTAAACTCTTGGGTGCATTTTGTATCAGCCTTTTTACCAAATCTCTCCTTTTCAGAGCACAGAATGATGTACTGAGATTTCCTCTTAATGTTTCTCAGCTAGTTTTCCCATGGAGGGCCAAGAGAAGTCACCTGTTTGGGACCCGCTGCCACAACGATTATTGGTGCTTGATTTGGATTTCTTTCGTTTTACAGTCACTTCTACAGATTTATGTTAGTTTTGAAGACTATCAGGCTGGCAAGAGAAAATTTAAAACAAGTGTGCATAGCTCATCATAATAGTTAATATATTCAGTGTTTCCACAGTTCATTCCTAAATTGGAATCCTATTATGTATATTCTTTGTAATTCCCTATTGGTTATTTAACTGTGAGATTGTGAGGATAAGTCATGTGGTATTGTTACATGCTTTTAGCCCATTAGAGAAGCAGACTTGCCTTTTGTGCAGCACTGATAGATGCAGTATTTCTTAATTACTTCAAAACAGAACTAAAAACCAAAGATACGCCTGGATGAGATCATTTTAGAAAAAGGATATGGATTACCTTCTGTCTACATACTATATATAAAGGAAACTTATTAAAAAGTGCAAAATATGTTAATTGTTTGCAAATGTAAAATCATAAATTGAGCAAAACGTGCTGATAAAATAATTAGCGTTGTTTGTTTTCATTTGTCAATTACTTTTCTGTTTTTCAGTTTGTCTAGATGCAGTTATCACAAATACCACTAGAGGTCACTTTATTAAAGTGAACCAGGTTTGAAAAACCAAAGCTTTTTTCTATGCAGTTGACTTCAGCATTGTACAGTATATTGACTTGTTAATGAATCCTAGAAGCCATGCCAAAGAAGGATAATAGAAACCTTTCAATATTAGTGCCTTTCTATATATACCTTTCAAAATAGTGCCTGATCTCATTGTCTCCATGTTGGTTTTTCTTCTCTTTAAATTTTATTTGTTCACTATGAATTAACCTGGAAGAAATGATAATACCAATAACACTGTCTTAAAATTATAGCAACCCTGCCTCAGCAAAACAAAAGTGCACTCTTCATGGTCAAAAATATTGAGACCGTTACAAATCCTACCAGTCTATGTATTTTTTTCTTTTTAGATCATAGCACGGTGAAGTTTATGAGCAATTTTGGAAGATTTGAACTTGGGGAAAAAATGGCAACATTGTACCTGACTCACTATTCATTTTCTTCTGATCTCCGTTGCTTGTCAGTAATCTATTTGGTTAAACAAAAAGGCGAGCGGTTTAGGGTGAATGAGGTTTATCTCATTTCCCTCAGGGCTCACTCAAAATAATACCATAGTTATCTTTACGAAATAAATTGTCAGATGAGTTCATCAAAAGATGAGAAAAACACTGTCCAACCACTTAGAAGTCCATATTGAATAAAAACATTTAATCTGTGTGCTTCATACATAAGCGCTTAACACATCTTATGTCCCACAAATCTTTGCTGCTTTCAGATAGAATTCATTCAAATTTGGGACATATCTGAAAAATTACAAGTTTTAAAATATAGATGTTACTTTTATCTAACATTAAATGTAAGGGATATTGAAAGCTTTTAAAGCTTAGAAAGCTTCTTCACTGTATTTGCATTGTGTGATGTGGAAAAAAAAATGGATCATCCATGACTCCTGGGCTATTTTCACAGATTGTGTTGAGAAAAATATGCAATGAGTGCATGTAACAGCACAAAATGGATCTAGATGGCATAAAGAGATCATGAATTTAGTTTACACACAGGTTTTATTAGAGAAAGGTGGGTGGTGATTTGTCTAATATGAACTGGGAGTAGCCACGCAAACACAGCTTGATTTTCTTTGTGGGCATTCACATGTTCCAGCATTACCAGGACTGACTAGTGATAAACATGTCCCTCAGTACTTGTTTATTTCAGCAACTCTTACTTTGTAAAATAATGCAAGTGCCAAACTAGATGGTGAGTATCTACTTGCACTGTGTTCAGTATAATGTTTTGCCTGGGCACAACCAAATACTGCCAGACACACAAGAGGAGATTTGTGTGTACTTCTCATGTGTCATGTTTTCCAACAATTATTGGTTCATGATCCATTTCTATAATCATTGTCAGGAGTCACCATGCCCAACATAAATATGCTATCAGGCCAAGTAGATCCTGGTATGGGGAGTGATACTTGTTGAACATCTCTGAATTTCTTTAGTAGAAGGGTCCAAGGTTACCCCCATAGAGACTCCAGGAGCTGGGGATTCTTCTGCAGGAGGAATGGAACTGTATCCTAACAGATTAAATGGAAGCTCATCTAAAGCATCAGACACTCCTGTCAGACAGGCCTGGCCTCTAAATGGGGTCAACAAGTTCCTGATGGAGAATGAGGCCAATTCAAAATTAGAGTGCCTTCCTCTAGCCCGTTCACAACTGACTTGATTATTATAATGAATGTTTACTTAGCGATTCATTTTATTCCCAATGAAATATAATGTTTGATTATGATCAACTGTTTTTTTTTTGTGAACAATGGCAATGTTATGCACTTCTATGCTTAGATTACTTCTATTTTGTACTTCTAAGGTAATTCCTTGACAAATTTATTTCTCAAAAGTAATGTGCAATTCATAAAGAATACAGAAATTAAAATTACTTCCTTTGTATATCCTCAGCAAATGCAAGAATATGAATAATATGTTTTATTAACAACATGTAATAATATTCATTGTGTTATAGCCTCTATATTTCCCCAAGTGTTGGGGAAATGTTGTGTCCTGTGTGTTTACTTACTGACAGATGTAAACACACAGGAAACTATTCACAAACAATTCACAAGCAATAGCTTTCTTTACAGTTGTAATCTGGGAAACTGAAATGATAAATGTTTGTAAATTGTCATGTATAAATAAGATTCCAATAAGTGGTCTTGCACCCTTTGCACTGATTAAGAGAACATTTTTAGGACAGATCTGACTTAAATTTCTGAAAATACTCAAACTAAGGTACAGTATTTCACCCCACTACAATATTAACCTATGGATTTGATTTTTTTTGTGTATTTAAATTTTACTATTGTATTGTTATAGCGCTTAAAACAGATTGCAAACAATATGCCAGGTAAGTTGCCTTGGTGAAGGGCATTAGCAGAGCAAATACAGTAAGTCTCTCTGTGTAAAAACAAGAACTTATCAATGTTGACCTGGGAGCCCCTTATCAGAAAAGTCTCACTGTTAGCCGGTAAGAAGAAACATGTTTTTTTGGTATTATTCTACTGCTATGTCCTTAAAAAACATGGCCTATTAGGACTGTCAGAGAAGAGAATGATATTTTTAATTTGTATGTAAGTTATAGAAGAATAACACACGCTTAATGCACTGCATTTATTGAATTATTGACTGGACTTGCAACAGATAGGCCACCAAGGAAACACCCGAAAGTACAGCAGAATACTGTGCTTATCAGTTTCTTCACTACCCAGTTAGACAGAATTGCCTACAGGTACCTCATAGTACAGTGAATTCAAAAGAATACACTGATGAATGCCTGCAAACAGTTTGTTAAACAACATGTTTGGTCTTATCACTTACAGAATTATGTACATTTCACTTTTTAGCATTAGCATTCTTACAGAATTTGGAAGTCATTATACAATTAAGATCTATTATAAAATAGAGACATAGTGAGTTATAGAAAAGCGGTGTTTTACATAACCAGTATTGACTGCATTGGAAAAATCAGTACAATCATGTCATCCAAAAATACCCACCTAAGAGATGCACTAGAATAAGGGATATAGGGAAATATATCAAATGCTCCCGATGTAGTTGTAAGTGAATTGAGAATAAATAGATATTAAGTATGTGGTGCTATACAACTTATTACTATTCCAAGACAAACTGATTCCAGCAGGGCTGGTTGTTCAACTTAACAACTAGGTTTTTCAGATCCTTGTCTATGGTGTTTGTAGAAACATACACAAGCAGACTGCTGCTAATGTTATAGCTGGTGAGCTACAAAACTAACAGTAGTTAAATGCGTTTGAAATTCACAAGGTATTCTGCTTGTTTAGGCCTATTTTCAGTTTTTTTTTGACAAAAAGTGATTCCTAGCTCATTTTCTCCGTGCAATGCAAAACGAAAAAGAGTTTCACAGGAGCAGAACACTATCATGACCAAGGAAATCTCTGAATATGAACCCCAAGCATGACCAAAAACAAGAATATGACCAAAAAAGCAAAAGAAGTGAAGGTTAGTAGAGATTCTATTATCAAGATAGCTGTATTTGAGATACTGTATGCATATTATTTTTGTGTGAGATATATGAAATATATATGATATGTATATAAAACATATACTGTAATGTATGTTTTCTTGGAGTTGATGAGAGGAGTAATAATTCAGACATACTTGGTTAAACAAATATTTATTACAATGACAGAACACAAACTACACTACACACAACAAAACATACAACAAACAAGTTACTCTATGTAGAGTATTTACGAACGAGGTGATTCACAAGCCTAACATTCTGGGCACTTTTATCCATAAAAGGCAGGACTAACGTTTTTAAATTAGATATATTTTACCCAGGAAACCCAAGTTCCCTAAAAAAAACTCTCTAGCAAGATTCAAATACTTAGCTCTAGTCAGGAGGAGACTCTAGTCTCTCCTCTCCTTCTTCCAAGCTTCTTCCTTTTCTTGTTTCCTCTGTGCTCTTAATGTGATGTTATGTTGTGTATTTCTCTACTTGCAATCATTGATTGACAATAATTAACCCACAGGTATACAAAGGTAAACTTTACAATTGTTTCTGCTCAAGGAACCCCCCCCAGACCTCAGCAAACATCTTTAGCTTTGAAGCTAGGAGTGTTTACTGTGCCAAATGTCACAAACGTAATCTAAAATCCAAGAGACACTTCTCAGTAACCTAAAGCTCTAACAATATTACACATCTCTGTGTACAACGGTAGCCATCCTTTACTTTAAGGACATCTCCTTTAAACGTGATTGTATCGGCAAACAGAAAATAAATGATCATCGTTCCCTTTAATGCCATTAGTATCTTTCGGCGCTCTGGGGACCAGCAGCTCCTGGGATATGCTTACTGATACCCGAATATTCGGTTCAGGGAGTCTTATCTTTAAGACTGATTGCAATACTAAAAGACAGTATGTCACCAGTGCCAATTACATTGTTTTCTTTCCGGGAACATGGAAAATCGCACAATAAGCCTTTTCAAAATAACAAGAAGAACCTTTTCTGAATCTGTTACATATATAAATGTAAGTATATATCTTGGCTATTATATTATACATCATATTCTAAATAATTTAATAATACTTATGTTATTACTGTAGGGTAGAAATTCCATATATATTTTTAAAAGTCTGTTATAAATCAAAGGTGATAGATGCATTTCAGTCAACACTAAGCGCATCTTTGAGATGATCCCGAACATTTAATTATTTTATCATTTTCTGTGAGTTTTTTTTATGTACGAAGCACGCCTATCCATAGAAACAATAATAAGAGACAATTCAAAACTAATGTTACAATAAATCCATTCCCTTACCAAGACATTACGGTGTGCAGTACCGTATTTGTTAACCACTGTGGAGTTGAACTGTCTTTGCCGTTTCTTCGAGTGTGCTGTTATTTTTTAATTAATAGGTAACAAAAGGTTTGGCTGCATCCGTTATTTAAATCTTGCAGAAAATGTAATATGACAGAAGCACCAGTTTAAGTCAGAATCCGTCAACTGAGGTGTGCATGACTTATTAAATCTTTGTTTTCTGTTTCATTTCTGTATAAAACACACACCCTGTCAAGGTGAATTTCGACTGGCCTCTTTTACACATTGTACAGCTTGGATACCTCTTGCACAACACTGCTATCCATTCAAAATTTTTGAGACGCTGGACCGTATTCGCTAATGACGAAAAAGTCAATTTACAGAAGTCTTTGTAACTGTTTTATTTCACTTATGATTCAAATATGTGAATCCGCGAGAATGAAAAGATTAACAATGTTAATTTACTGTTTGCTTTTTATGTCTGCCTTAATAAGTATTAGAGAATAGTAAATTGTAAATTGTAAAATTTACAATTTACAAATTGTAAAATAGTAAATTGGCGATTTCTAATGTATTCGTATTTTTACACTAAAATTATTTCATAAACTTTCTCAAAGCTTATGGTTAGGGGCTATGCAGTGTCGCAATAATCTCCAGTTATTTTTGTGATTTTCATTTTTATTTGGGATTTTTTTCTTTTTTCTCTTGAATTGGAAAATGTAGAGGCTCACAGCCTGGGTTTACAGAAGTACAGTGAATGACAATGAATGGGCCTAATGATTTTAGTTTTGAGTAATTTCCCTGCTTTCTAGTCCAGACCGTATTTTATATTATGTGATGAAATGCACTCTTGTCCTTTATGGGACAATTTTATTAAACGGCTGTAGAGTGATTTATATTTAATTAATAGTAAGGCACTTTTCATAATCAAATAACATGGTGCTGTACAGGACAGACACCAATAAGACACAACACACACTTAGCAGGTTAAAATCCAGAGTAAAAAAATGAGTTTTTAAATGTAGTTTTAACTCATTAGATTTATTAATATTCCTAATTGTGGAAAGGAGTTTTGCTGCTGAGAAATCACAACATTGTAGACTTACTTATCTACTGATTTTACTATAGTACTATAGGGCAAATCAAATTAGAGCCTCTGGACATTAAGATCAGGGCACTAGTGTAGCAGCTCAGTAGTAGTCTTAAATAGATAGGATATAGACCATCTAGAACTTTGTATGCTTAAAAAAATCGCCTCATAATCGATTCTGTGTTGCACCTGGGTAACAGTGTACTGTAGAAAAAACAAAACACGTTTTAAGATAAGAATAAGGCAAGAATTCTTATATTACTCGGGTTCTGCTTTTTTAAATACGATTTATGCGATCTTTGCTGACACATCAGCAAGTTGGATACTGCAGTAGTCTTGATGTAAATATAACATAAACCCAGACTATCTTGGGCCTCGATGGTTTTCAACATATAATATGTCGTAGACTTGTTCCTCTAAAGATCAGAATGATGCATTTTTCTTCCACGTGTTTAGCTGATTGCCTGATCCTGGTCTTGTATGCTCTGAAATTTGTTCACTGATCATGTCCTTGACACTATACCAGTTTTGCTGTCAGTATCTTGCATCAGGGTTATATTTATATAACAAGATGAATGGGGATCATTATGATCTACTGAAACTGACCAATTGGAGCTCTTTGCCTGATGATGTTTTTGATGAAGTGCTAAAGTTCTCTGTCAGAGCTATTGATAATGAACCTAATGCTTGAATAGTGGCTTTATTACACACAACTCACTTTTCGGACATTTACTTTGTATATTGATAAATCAAAATTGTGTTGTATTTATTTTGAGAATTATTCCTGTTCATAGCTGTTTTATAGTTTATTTTTAGACACGATAAGCATGTTTAAAACAAAATTTTCATAAGCATCCCATCATTGCGTGTTCTTGGGAGAGGTCCTGATATTGAATAAAGTATTGTTGTTTTTGTGTGTCTGTGGTATTGCAACTGATGCAACAGCTCGGCCAGTTATAATGGGAGCCCTGTTGGGTTTAAAGAGAATATTTTGAAAAAACCTGAGATTTATGCTGTATTTTTTGCAATTTGCCTTTAAAGCTTTGCTTATGAGTGATCATGTACAGTAAAAGAGAAATAGGCTGTTGAGCAAGTCTAATGTTATTCAGTACGTTTGCAAGGATGATGATGTAAAAACATTAATGTGCATGCAGTACCTGGTATTGTATTATATTGAATATAGTTTTACTCAATATTTATGATTGTTAATCAAGCTCATGGTCAAGGGTGAAATATGTATGTGTCAAAACATTTAATAAATGATTCAAGAAGAAGGCTACAGGGAAAAAAACTAGGGCCCATTAAATTTAAATTCACTGTATTGAAAGTAGAAGACAGAAAATGAGACAAATACAAGCTATTGATTTCACACGTACTATACACAGTATATGTACATTTTATATTTGTGCATTTATTATGCACATTTTTCTCTAAGAGGAGAAATGTGACTAATCTGACCTTTTAATTGCTAAAATGAAGAGAGAAGTGTAGATAAAATCTATGATCACTTGCTTCTGACCTCTGACCATAATGCTGATAAAATGAAATCATCAGTGCCACATTTTGCACCTTCTCTTTTCACCCTAGATTTGTCCTAGATTTATGCTTCAGACTTCTCTTATTTACTGTATTTTACCATTCTCACAACTAGTAGCCTACAGATAAGTGAAGAATACTAAAGGGATTGCAAATAATTAAGCACAAAGCACCTTAGTGCAATTATCAAGACTGTCTTTGAGAAAAAAAAACAAACTAATTGATATCTCAATCCAAAGAAGCAGTTCATAACAAAATAAAAATAATTCCTTTAATTACCAGCAGTGATCAGAACCAGGCCAATTAAATTTGGATGCTGGGTACTGCTTTCTTATTTTACATTTAAGGGTGTAATTATTCTTTCTTACTAAATTTAGCCATACACTTATGTATTAAAGTCGGGTGGCTTCAAGAAACATTATATGAATTATATAATATTTAATGAGTATGCCTGAGTTTGTTAATGACTAAATACTGTAAATTGGTCTGTCAGCTTCATAGCTGGGTGTGAATTCGAGACAATTGGTTCTTCCTCATTTAAGCCAGTCAGTAACTACTAAAAGCTTTGAAAGTGCCCTTGAGCTTTCTAATCACCCACAAGGATAAATTGTTACATCTCCATCCTTAAGTGGAGTCTTTAATCACTATCAGATGATCTTTATAAAACCTATGCAGAGGGAAGATTTCTCAATTTCAGTTTAATTTTTAATTTATTGCTTTGGGCAAACACTTTTGAACTATTGTATTTACATGTTTAGTAGTAAAGAAAATCAATGATAGTTGGAATAAAAGAACAACAAAAGTTTTACAAATATAATTTGGAAACACTTAACCAAATATTCAGTAGATATACCTATAATTGTAGGTGGTTGTTTATACTTTAACACTATTGTTTTTAATTTTTAAAAGATCAAACACCTTCATTTGTTCTTGTTGCTATGGAAGTAGTGAACTGGTTGCCTTGGTAACAGAGGGGAGAAATTGACCAGCAACATTCATACAGAATGAGATACTTATATAAAAGGTAGATTTATATTTTAGAAGTATTGTAATCTATTCATAGTTTTGCCAGCATGAGCAGCCTAAATATTCCAAGAAACACAATTTAAAGCTCACAACGTATGGTTTTCTAAATTCTTGAATGCTGTATACTCTACACATTTGTATGAACCTGTTCTTGAGATTTTAAGTATTTTGTTCATTTTCATCCATAATTAATAATCTCCAGAAAAAGTCAGAGTAGTTTGTTTTGAGAGCTGATCTGCTACTTAATTAATTTTTATGAAATCTGTAAGACCTTATTTATTTATGTGCATTATGTGATGCATTAAGACATGCATTTCCTCATACATTGCTTATTTTAACTAACACTGTTTTTATCAGGAAGACACCAGAAATTGTAATTTCCTATATTGATATTATCCTTTCCCTCCACTGCTTTAAATCGTCCCTTTTTAAGACTTTGTTATTACTTCGCATTTAATTTGCTGCCTGCATTCTCCTTATTACTACATTTGATATTGACCCGCATCTTGCACATCAATATGAAGTTAGGGTGCCTTTTGTTTTATTACAAATGGCAACGATGATCTCAAAAGTAGTTTTGGTAAGTTAATTATTTGTATATCTGACAGGTAGGTGGCTGCATTTCAATAGATAAATGGAATTTATTTGGTGTATGGACTTCCTGTTGAAAAGCTTCACTCTGTGTACCACAGTGATGAAATTTCAGTCTTCCTTTGAGAATATCTAGAATTGCTGGCAATCAAAAACCACAGCAGATACTAACAGAACAGTGAACATGAAAAGCAACAAATCAGATCTCAAATAAATTGAAGCAAGGATGTGATTGTCTCGAATGCTTACACAACTTTATTTCATATGTGTCCTAATCTTTAATCCACGCCAAAATTGAATCTCTGGCCTTCTTTATCATTGGAGAAAACTGACCATCATCCTAAGTATCCTATCCTAGGTACTATATTGATGCTCATAGCCAGTTTGAGGCAGTACTGTATTGTTTTTACAGTTATCATGTCCTGCTTTCACATTTACCCTTTTCCTCTCTCTTATTGAAGTCAATAAGAGTACCAGGTGGAGACACACCTGTAGTTAGTGTGGTTAGGGATGGAGTCCATCACTGGGCAAACAAACCCACACTGTAGAAACTTAATTAGCTGAGTAAGCATGTGTCTGAGAGGAGGGAGAAAACTGAAATACAATGCTGATGCCACTGCAAAGCCACTGCATTTCCCCATATGTAAGCAACAATCACATAAATAAGTCATGAAAACATGCACTACAGTTCTAAAATCAGTTCACACCAAGCACCGGAGTTGTACTAAAACACAACACAAAAATTGTCAATGAAGCGAAGCGTAGGTAAACTTGTGATCCGAACTTTATCGTTATTTTACATTCCGTCAGTTTGGATATTTAAATGAAACAAAGCCAATGATGTATGCCCTGTCAATCTTCTGGAAAGACGACTTAAAGAATAGGATATAGAGCTGCACTTCAAATTATGTAACATAATTCTCCCTTTAAAGCAGAGAGAATTGCAATCTACTAAGATGTATTTCCTGATTTCTTTCTTAGGCACTAAAAATATTTTATTTTTGAATATGTAATTGTTTGCAAACCAAATATGTTCTTGCCTAAATTAAGACATGCTAGGATATTTTTGCCACACGGGAATTCCTAATTAGTAATGAGCTGCACTCTCAAGTCGCTGATTGAAAGAAAAAAAACTAACATCTGATTTTATCACATATTACAGTACAATACTCTATTTTAGGACAGATTATGTTCCTGCTGTCTGTGTTGCATTGCTTGTGTGCGCAGTGCCTTGCAAAATTATTCATTCCCCTGCAAAGTGACCATATTTTGTTGACATTGAGCTTGCAATAATGACAATTAAGAATCGATTCTAGATTTCTTAATATAAAAAACTGAACGTAAAGATTGGGAGCCCAAAATGTATATTTTGTATTGCATTATTTTCCATAAAGGTCCAATTTTATCATTATGTACTATCCAATAAATCATATGGCTTGAAAGAAGAATTGCGACTCTGCTGGAGCCCTCAGTAGGTTGAGTCACAGAAACAACAAAGCAAACATGAAAAGATGTTACTGCTTTTCCAGTAAGATATAATACTTTAAAATTTAAAAAAAGCCATAGAGATAATATAAAGATATAACCCAAAGAAGAAAAAGGTCTAGGGAAAATGTGCTTAAGGTGAGGAGAGCAGAGAGAGAAGAGGAAATCATATTTTAGCAATGGTGTTGATTTATTTACATTCACTTTCTTTTTCTTTTCTCCAAGCCTATTTTTCTCCAATCCTCTGATAAAGGATACTACTGTATTAATGGAATTAGTGGGAACTCAAATATTTAGTCTCACTGGGTGAGAAAAAGCTACTCATATTTTTATAAGACTGGCAGTAGTTTATACATGTGTACCTTTTATTAAATTAGCTAGGAAACCATAAAATACCAATTAACTTTATATGCTATACAAAATCATGAATAGTAGGAAAAAGATCATTAATGGAAATTACAAGTAAAGATTATTTTTCATTTAAATGTTGTCACTGCCAGAGGCCATGATGGAAACTCTGTCAGTGCCGCAGAAAAAGAAGTAACTATAGCAACTAATACATTTTCTATATTTGCTGCTTTGAACAGAGATCACTTTAATCTGACAACATCAAATAGCTGGAATGCTGGAGCAGAAGGCATTCTGAAAGGAGATCGCTGTAGTACTTTGTGTTTTTAAAGGGCATAACCCTTTGTCACATAGTCCTGGAATACCAAGGCCAAATATGGCCAAATGCCTTAAAGCCATTGAACAACAACAGTTCAAAGTGAATCGACTGTCTTTAATATCTTACATAAATAAAATCCCCTCTCACATTCACAGAATTGTGGGATAGTGTAACAGGACTCGTAATTTGATATAAAAAAGGTATAAGACAGCCAAGGCATTTTTCTAATCCCCCTCCCCCGTGATTCTACTCGGGTGGTTTTAATTTTTTTTCACAATATTCAATTGAGGACACCACTAACAACAATATTTTGAAAAGCATCATTTGTGCTAGTACAAATATTTTAATTAAAAAATATTTTTTCATGAATGAGGTCCTACCCAGGATACCCAGGTAACCTGGTAAATTGTAGATGGAAAAGCAAATCTCTCTTCATGGGCCAAAATACTAGTAGTCCTGAGGTAAGTGGACAGATTAATTCAGTGGAAGACAATGAGAGTATGGTTTTAGGAACATGAGACGGACTAGATCAGTGGGGCCCTGTCTTCTATTCATGTGGTGTTATCTGGGTGGATTTTGTAAGTTCTCCCAATGTTCGTGTCCTTTTCCTCCAGACACGTGGTGCTCTAGTTTCCTCCCACAGTCCAAGTTAATTGGCTTCTGAAAAGACTGGCCCTGATGTGAGTGTGTGTATTTGTGTCTGTGTGTGCCCTGTGATGTATGGGTATCCCTTCCAGGGTGTATCCTGCCTTATGCCACTTGCCTGCTGGGATAATCTCCAGCTTCCCATTGACCCTTTATTGGATAAAGCAGCTAGAAGATGGATGGATGGGTGAGACAGACTTCCATTACCTTGGTGACAAAGCCCAGACCTCAATCATTTTGAAAACATTTGGGACTGGTAAAATGCATAGTAAAACCCCACATAACATTACACCCTCAGCTGAATTGTTTTCTCACATGCCATATTTATATCATTGCTTAGAGCCTGCATATAATACTGTATAACTTTAAACTGACATTGTTTTAGTATGAAGATTGTAACTGCATTTTCCCCAATATGTAAACCAATTACTATATTGTGTAATGAAATGACTTAAATGTTCTCCACCTTGCTATTGTTTACTTTATTTTAATATTCTATTAAATTATTATAAAGAGTCTAAACAATACTGTTACAACACTGATCTTACTAAACAATACTATTTTTTTTTTGGCATACAGTATATTGTAACTGGTGAAATTAAAGAACCCCAGGATCGTAAGGATGAATGTTTTAAACATGGCTGCAAAAATGACACTTCTTTCTTTTTTCAGGGGTCTTTGCAACTGATGTGGGAGGACAATGCAAAATATCACCGCTGAGCACAATGCCAAAGAATGAAGAACTGCTGTGGCTAGAGAACATCGAGTGGTAACCATGACTGCGTGCAACAACAGCTTGTTTCAGGCTTGCACCTTGCAGGAGTCTAATGCTTCAAGCCTGTTCTCTGCTGAATATACGGTCATGCCCATTACTCTAAGGATATTGTTGGCAGCTATCATGATATTTATGATCACTGTTGGTTTCTTGGGCAATGCAATTGTGTGCTTGATTGTCTACCAGAAGCCGGCTATGAGGTCTGCAATTAACCTTCTTTTAGCAACGTTAGCCTTTTCTGACATCATGTTGTCTCTTCTGTGCATGCCCTTCACTGCAGTCACCATTATCACAGTCGACTGGCACTTTGGGGCACACTTCTGCAGGGTGTCAGTCATGCTCTACTGGTTTTTCGTTCTAGAAGGCGTATCAATCCTACTGATCATCAGTGTGGACCGTTTTCTGATCATAGTCCAGCGGCAGGACAAGCTCAATCCTCACAGGGCCAAAATAATGATCACAACATCCTGGCTGCTCTCGTTCTGTATTTCTTTCCCCTCAGTTGTGGGCTGGACAGTTGTTGAAGTCCCAACCCGGGCCCCCCAGTGCGTTCTGGGCTACACGGAATCTCTGGCTGACCGGGTGTATGCAGTCCTGCTGGTGGTGGCTGTTTTCTTCATCCCTTTTGGCATCATGCTGTATTCCTACCTCTGCATCCTCAACACAGTGCGTCGCAATGCTGTTCGTATTCACAACCACGCTGACAGCCTGTGCCTGAACCAGGTCAACAAGCTGGGACTCACAGGTATGCAGAGGCCGCCACAGATGAACGTGGACATGAGCTTTAAGACCAGGGCCTTCACCACCATCCTCATCCTTTTCGTTGGGTTCTCCATCTGCTGGCTCCCTCACACCGTGGTCAGTCTTCTCGCGGTCTTCAGCAGCCGCTTCTACTTCAGCCCCTCTTTCTATGCAGTCAGTGCCTGTGCGTTGTGGCTCAGCTATCTGAAGACCGTCTTCAATCCCATCATCTACTGTTGGAGGATCAAGAAATTCAGGGAGGCCTGCCTGGAGTTCATGCCCAAGACCTTCAAGATCCTCCCAAGAATGCCTGGAAGGAGCCGAAGAAGGATTCGGCCCAGTAACATTTATGTCTGTAGTGAGCTCCAGTCCGCTGTGTAAGACACACAGCAAATTAAAAACCCACTGTAAAGCCTTATTTTAAACTGGCTAGTGGACTAAAGATTAACCCCTACATTCCAACACGGTATACTGTTTACGTAACAATTTTCCCCACTCAAATTGGTGTTTTGTCTACAATGGAACAATAAAACACAGCTTTGTATAAATATCTAAAATACTGTACATTGTTCATACTCTACATTCATTTTGTCATACCAATATCCAAATTATACAAAGTAATTTAACAGGTTACATGTATTATAGTGCCTTTCATCACAGTCAGGATCCAAGAGCTGAACTACTGATTGTTCAGAAAAGTACAGCCTCCTTAGAGGTGGAATATGCCATTTCTAAAGTTCAAAACTACTCCCATCAAGTACTGTTGGTTCAATGCTGCGTATTTAACTGGATTAAAGCAATGTCTCAGTCTCCAATTACAGTGCTCCCAATTGTAACTTAAATTGCAATGCAGTATGGTTTTCCAACACTTAGAGAAGTTAATGCAAATAAACATAGTGGCGTGATCTGTATTATCATGTTCTCAGGGGCAACTGGACAGAAATTGCTAGGATGCTTCATAGGAGAAATGGTAACATCAAGGCAACCTGTCATGAACCTATTTGGCACAGTGTTTAAGTGGATACTGACCTGGTTTGGCACTTTTTCATAACAGATTTAATTTTAATTTTTTCTATATATATAAACTACACTGTCACTGGTGGAAAGCTTCAGGCAGTTTAACTAAACTACAGATTACAGATTCTACTTAATTTTTTTTATATATAACATTAATATGGCATCTTTAATACAAATGTCACTCAGAACACTTTAGGTAATTCAAACACAGTGTTATAAAAACAATTAATGGTAACTGCTCCAGATCATGTTACTTCAGCAGCCTAAAGCAGAACAAGCTAGCTTCACTGTCAGGAAGATGTTCATCAGGATTTTATGTCACAGCCAAAGATGCTCTGGCAAACCTAAGTATTTACATTTTAGGAAATCATAATGTGACTTCAAAGAAGAATCAGGCTTTACTGTTTTTGAGTTGTTCCTAGGCATTTAACTGTAGTTCCCAGCACTCTTTATGGTCTGAGTAAACACCTTATTCCACAGCCTGAGCCCCTTAATAAAACATGACGTCTGCATTTCTCATATGTCTAAAAATAAGGTCTTTCCAATGCCATTGAGAACCATATGAATGTATTTTAGAGAGAAGAAAGTGTAGTGTTATCTGATGGTCTGATTGTAATATCTTATGTAATGCATGATATTGAGATACAGATTATTTTCAACTGTATTTTTATTGAAATAGGGATAGATATTAGAAAATAAAATTGACATAAGGCCATTAACAACCATACATGTGTTTTTATATATTTAATATAATTTAAATATAATTATGTATTTAATATATTATATATGTAACTTGAAATGCGTTGGTTTACTGCACAGATTTGAGATAACCTTTGAAATGGGGTTTTGTTTTTAAATGCCAGAGACGTTCTAGAATTAAGAAGTGTTTTATTAATACATACTATGGTCTGCCATTGTAATATTATGCAATATTGCGTACTATTTTTAGTACATACCAATTTAATAAAAAATTAATGATCGTCATATTTTCATTAATCATATTTCTTGTTACAATTCAAAGTTTTTGAAGATAATTGCATTTTGATCCTACAATTAGAGGTTTGAAACGTAATGAAAACCCCAGATTTGTCTTGAAGTTACAAATCTATTCTAATGAATAGTATGTTCATTTGTTGTGCTTTCACATACATCATTGTTGTCTTAAACTCTGCTGTATTGAAAATTTATATAAAGTGAATATCAAATTTACCATCTGGTATATTTTCAAATTTTGCTTATAAAAAAAAAGTGAGATGTGTACACATTACGAGTGAGCAAAGATATTTTCTACACAATTTTGACATTAAAAAAATTGTCCAATTCTGCAGAGCATTTTGAAAAGACCACTAAACCAGCATGAAACATACCAACACTGCAAGAAATGGAGTTGCCAGGAAAATCACACATTGCATTTACATATTTCCTTCTATAACAAGGCTCATTTGGTACATAAAACAAATCATGCAGAATTGCTTGTCAAAATCTAAAGCCCAGTTGGCTTTTTTACAGAAAGAGAAATGCCCCTGGAATACATTCACACTAGAGTGCAAAGAAGGGACTTTCTAAATTCTGAAAGAATAATATTGTTCATTCAAACAGCTAAACCCTATTATTTTCCTTAAAAAATGACAAGGCTGTAATACTGTTTTAAAAAGAAATATGCACCTCGTGTGGGCATATTTCCATGTCTTCCTAAGGAACCTCACAACTGAGGAAGGCTTCCATTCATGAAGTGCCTAACTATGGTTCTAGACTGATCTGTTGATTTTAGTGACTCAGCAGAAAATGCAATAAATCTCCACATTTACACGTAGGAGGGCACCCACTTCACACTGAAGTGATACACAGGAGATCTTCTACTCCAGCAGTACCATTCCTCTGTCTGATCAGCAGTGTACTGAGTAACTGCTTTGCCAATTAATTAAGGGAGAACTTTGAGATGGCCGGACTGTACAAACCCAAAGTGTACTTTGATCAACACCCAGACCACCATACTGGTTTGGACATTCTGGTGCAGAGGGAAGAAAACCATCTACTGTTTCACCAACAACCTGCTTTTCAGCCAAGAGATGTCCCTCGCCAGTACAGACTGAGCACAGCCTTGCTTAATCCAAGATTATGAGATCAGATTACAATGTAATGACGCTGGTCCTAAAACAAAAATGTCCTGCAATTCGAGATTTGAGATGCATAAACAATGATCAGTGAAGGAAACTTTGACATCTTAGAATAAAGTAAAAGTAAAACAGCAATCACAAATAACAGGCCAGTAGAATAAAGCTACTCAAATTTATTCAAATTTCTTTACATTTGTACATTCCACCTACAATGGCATCAATTTAGAAAGCAACAAACAGTATAAATATATCTGTATGTATTTATAAAGTAGTTTAGTGATATAAAGACAGCAACATGGAAAAGGATTTTGAGAAGATGGTGTTTTGAATAAATAAGATTGAGGATGAAAGATTTTCCATTACCCTGTATGAAACCATTTTGAAATACTAACAATCACCTCAACTGGAAGAAAATCTCCACTTTGGTTCATGTTCCTGTAGGGAAATGGCTTCGATGTTAATACAGTAATTTCACATGTAAATAGACTTCAACCAAATTGTCGAATTAAAAAAAACAATGCACATATAGTAAAATAAAACAGATTTAACTGCCATATTGAAGGCTAGTTTTCAGTGAAAGGTAACGGGGTTTACTTAAAACTAATTCATCAAGCAACTGAGTAAATGACAGATTGAATTTTTCAGTTAGAAATGCCTTGGAAGCTGAAGGTTGCAGTCTGCTACACATAGAATATTTAACAGAAAACAGAGCCTATAGTATTGAAAAGTGTTTTTAATTGTGTTAATATGGACTAGGTTGTCTTTCCCTCCAGATCTGTCCATTAGATTAAAGAGCAGTAAATCATGTACAGTAGGCCATATTAAAAAATAATTGTGCAGCAAACATATATATAATAAAATCAGCATCTCAAAACAAAAAAGGGCTATTAAAGATACAACCACAAAGTACTCAAACAGTAAGCAACAAAGATTACTAAAGATAATTAAGATGATATGAAAAAATGTTTAGAATGTCCTGTTTTATATGCTTTAAAGTTAAGTAAGCATGGAACAGTACGGTGCTTGGAAGAATGATTGGCGTGTTTAGAGTGCTGGAGAAACAGGCACGGTTATGGATTCCCGAAAGATTAAGAGGTTTTCCTTCTGCTATCTTGGGCAATAGGACCATGGTTGTGATGGACTGTAGTGCATTACTAAGTGAGAATGATGATTTTAGTAAACAGAACCCCAGACATTAACTAGCATGTTAAAGAACTTTTTTTTCTTTAAAAGCATGGGTGCTTATTTTTGTTCAGAGTTCTGATTGACTGATTGTAAGCAGAACATATAACTATATTAAGAATGGCATATTTACTGCCTTTGAAATGGGATGTTTTTGGTATCTATATAAAACAGGGCTTTTTAAATTACTTTTACTGTATTTTATAGCCTTCACCCATAATTATATACAGTATGTTAAGGCTAAAACAACAGGTTATAAACAATATACAGTATATTTAAAACTGCAACTTTTTACAGTGTTTCACTATACAGAAACGTATGAATAAAACACAACTTCATAATTTACTGGATATTATCAGTCAACCCACAACACATAATCAGAACAATTGCTATCACTTTGTCATCCTATTTGAAAAAATTCAAGTATTAAGGTCCAGTCCCTTTTCCAAAAGAAAAAAATAGGCAGAATGATTTCAGTTATCTTCCATTCACAAGTGCATTGGACAGATGAAAACAAATCTGTAATTAACATTGAATACAATGAATATCACACAAAAGAGTAATGTTTCATTCTGCATACAACGCAGGATATAAAGACTGCATTTAACATGCATATTTTAATGCATAAATCTTAATCATGATCTGTATTAGAGAAACACAGGATGTTAAACATAGTACATTGTGAATATTTTCTAAGGCTAACAAAACTATTTGCTAAATTGTTCAGAGATGCTGTTACAGCTTTAAATTTTAAGAAAGAGCTCTGTAAAAAGCAACAGCATTAAAAAAACAAAATCACTGCAGCTAAAATCTAATATTACAGGTTTAAACTGAATTTTATTGAAAATGTGATCTCTTTTCATTTACTGTCTTTTAAGCTTTTTTGTAAGCTTTAAGCTTTTACTTAGATTCATAGAATCCAAGATCTACTTAAATGCCTTCAATGGTACTTTCAGTGTAATTGGGATGTATACTTCCTGTTTTTCCTTAGGTTAAATTCAGGACTGAAGTACTCATCACATTGCTTGTACATCACAAACAGATACATTAACAGTCCATTAATTATAAAGTTCAAGTAATGATTATGTAGTGTTGCATTATGCAAGCAGATGAATCTGGAACCTGTAAATCGGGGATGAATAATAATTTTACCGTCACCGGTTATTTCACTTCATTAACATATGTGCTGTTATTATTTTTCCTTCTTAAACACAGTTAAATACCTTAACAGTGTACAGAAGTATACCATCTTTTGTTTTTGTTTGACTCTTCATAATTTTTATGTAAATTATTTCAGAGATATTACTGTTTTATCACTGATGGATCTAAACTATGACTGAACTACCATAATAGTGGTATCAGTATTAAGTAACTGTATCCCATAAGGTTACTGATGCAGAATCAAAATGCCCAGAGCTAATGTCTGACTGTATAATTGCCAAAGGAAAGCAATGGGGGAAATATTGTCTATTATACTGCTATTTCCCAGCAGGTACGGTCTTTTTAATGAATGTCAAAATCCATCAGTTGTATAACATGGCAAATCTATATTTTTGTCTTCCCTAAGGAAGCCATTTGTAGGTGAATAGTTTCAAAGGGAAATGTGATTAGACTTAAGAGTAGATATTCTGTTTCTGTGTTTACTTCTCTGTTCTCTGTAAACTTTGGATTCAGCATTTTCTGCATTTACTAAAATGAAAACCCAAATATCTTTCTCATGCTAACAAATACAATATTAGCCCAGCAAACCTTTAACACCCTTGATATCCTGTAATAGTACTGAGGTTAAGATACAGATAGGATATACAGTATATTATATAAACTCATGCACCTGCTTTCTGCATCCAAAGCACCCAGATATGACAGAAAAATACTTTTAACAACTTCAGGAGAAAATCAAATGGAAATAAGAAGTGCATTGACCTGGGTCTAATGTTTTCATGGAAATTGGTCAGTGTAGGCAATATGGTTTATACTTGCAATTAACAGAAATAAGGACGGTAAATTTGGCAATTTAAACACCTTAACCCAGCAGCAGCAGCACTGGGATATTAGACCTCCACCTCAAAAGCAGCCATTTCACTTGATACAAACATACTACTGTAGCTCAAGGACAGATCAAAGTGTAGGAAAGTGCAACAGAAAAAGGAAATGCAGAACATTTCAAACAGGGACAAAAGATCTACTTTTGAGCTGAAACATCTTAAATTAAAAGCCTGATATCTTCATTACAAGAAAAGACAACTGAAACAATACCTCCTTAAAAAATCAGATTAAGACTGGAATACAAGCTTAGTCTGAGAATAAAAGCTTAAACACTTAGTCACAGAAAGTAAAACACAGGGATGATTTGTTACCACACTGAACATATTAGTATATGTAATAGTCATTTACTGTAGAAGGTTCTTCAGTATCCTCCCGATCTTGGCTGGGGACCCAAGGAAGGAAAACATTGTCTTCTACATACCCAAGAGTTAAGGAAGGAGTTTTGTAAGTAACGTTCTTTGCTGTTGACAACAGCTAAAATTTGTAATGCAGACTAGTTATACAGTATTCAATATGAGAAGACTATTTTGACTATTAAGTCAATATACTTTAAATCACTGGGTACACAAAACGTATCACAGACACATAAATGATGCACATAAAAATGTCACCTCCAGACAAATAAGAGTGCTGATGCAGAAATATTATTTTCAGCAGTGACTGAAAGACTTTGAAAGTGCCTTGCATATCATCCACTTTTCAAACTGTTCTAGTCTCAAAGCTTACCCATAATCCTCTTGAAATTCAATGCATTATAAGAGGGTCAGACTGCACTGCCAGACTGGAGAATGATCTGCAGTCTCCAAACCCCCTTCCTCAAGAGTGAGTTGTCCAAAGCAAGGTGAAGCATGAATCTGACACTGAAAACTACACAAAAAAGGGAAGCATAGTAAAAGCAGACTGTAAAAATGCTGGGAGCACAAGTCACTTTTGCATTCCACTGTCATGAGTGAAAGATGTTATAATGCCATTCCCCAACACTTTAACTACTTTTTAAGAACAAAATATTGCAGGTGTTTTACTTTCATTGCACAATTAGGAACTTCATGGAAGCTCAAAGAATTAATGTTTTGCTGTATATCAAGACACTACAATCAATACGTACGGACAGGATCAAGCAGGGGGCTGACAAAGGAGGAAGAAACCACATGAAGGATGTCTCACTATAGAGGTAATGGAACAGAAGATGTTAGCACAGACCTGGCACAGCCCTTTGTTTTATTTTTATCATAAAAGTTTAATTTCTTGTTCTGCAATTTCATTGGGATGGAATTGTCAGGAGGGGAAGAAAGCATTCACAGTTATTCAGTCTCACTGTTTATATGGATAGGAACATAGAATAAATAGTTTCGGGTTTACACAAGACTTGTCCATGTATAAAGGCTGAGTGCTTGAAGTTCACATGTTGACAGCAGTTCTCCTCTGTGCTTTTCAGTGCTTTACCAATGCTGATCAAGCTCCATTTCTTGTCTTTCAGAAATGTTTGCAAGAAGGATTAAGAGTTTAGTAAGAAATGGTTGTTTCAGGTATGGTTGTTGACATTTGGATATTGCCTCCTGCTAGGAGACTCTCTGTTCCTCTTGGCTGCACAGTGAGTGTGGATTGGAATGCCACTGGGGTGAAACACAAACTCAGGCTCACTGAATGTGTTATGACACAACTGGCAGCCTTTCTTCTCAGACAAGAAAATCGGACCACCTTTAGACTTCATCTGTAGAGGAAAAACACGGGACAAATGTGATTCAAATCAAACAATTTTAAAATGATACAAAACAGGACTGGGCGTCATAAAACTGTAAATAGTTCTCAATCACCAGGGTTTTGGCAAAAGCCCATATTCCATAATGGTTTTGGGACTCATTCATAACCAAATAAGTATCCAAAGAATGAGTTTCACCAAACTGTATTCAAAATACTGTTTATTAACATCTTTGCACTAGTGGCAAAGTCAGGTGGTAAGGGACGTGAGAAAGTGAAAGAAATGAACAAGCTGACAAAACCTTTGGGTACCACCTATTTTTTCAAGTTTGGTGAAAAAATATACTACATCTACCTCACTAGGTGAATTCTGGCAACACCACAACTAAGTACAGTTACATTCTGATTGTTCCATCAGAACACCAAAAAGCATGTGCTATATTCTAATAAATTCCACATTTCACATGTTTTATTTTATAAGTAAAGCTTAATGAAGTGCTTTATTACTGATTGCAGACACTGACAACCAATCCTCTAACACTTTGCCAAACAGAAAAAAGCTGAAGTTGATGCTGATGGACTGAAGTAACTAGTTAATACCCTTTGCAGACAAAGGTATTTGCAAATTACTTATACCTGTATGCACAGTAATAAAAACATTCCACCCAATCATCACTATAATCTTTTGGCATCGACAGTGCAATGTCATTTGTTAAGTTCTAAAGAAAGTTCACTGACTTAAATGTATAATCAAAGCAGGCTGTAATGGCACAAAGACATACCTTTTCATGCTTGTGAATGATGTTCTCTGATCTTGCTAATCCCAGTGCGACCTGAGACATGCGCTTGGAATGCATGCTTTCCCTTATGGCTCCACTAAGGAAGGGACAGAGAAGCTGGACTGACCAGCTCTCTGGAACAAGTCTTAAAACACGAACTGCATCGAAGACCTCTGCATGCCTGTTCAATAGGTCCACAGCAGCCATTACTAAGGCATCATTGGAGATAGAAGGGTCCATGTATAGTGCAAGCAACATGTGAAAAAGCCGCTGTCTGTAGGATGGATCTTTGTCCTCGGAGGCCCACAGACAATATCTTTCTGCAGCTTGGAAGTCTTTGAGCTGATGAACAAGGATATGAAGTGCTTTATCGTACTCCTCCAGCTTTCCATACAGTATTGCACACTCAAACTTCAGATCTGTGTCCTTAATTTTACCTGCAAAATATCAGAACAACTTAGACACAAGTGTGACACTATCTTCCAAATCACTCGAAACACTGGATTTTATGGCTTCATATTATCTCATCAGCTTTTTATTATTAGAAATACAAGTGTCAAGTACGTAAATCAAAGGCAGGAAGTATGCACTGACTCATGCTATCCATAAATATTTCATTTGAGGAAATAGACCTAAAATTAAAAAAACATAATGTATTCAAACAATCTAAATTTACATTAATGTCTTAATGCAAATAAACAATTGGCATTCTACAGAAATGGCATCTGAATTCCCCAAAACTCCAAAAGTGTTTTTAAGGATTAAAATATTAGAATCAAAGAGGATTTTCTCAAGTAGAAAGGCCAACATGTATGTTGTTTGGTGACTCTTATTAATGTCCACAGAGAACTGTGACCTATTTATTTTTTTAGGAAAAAAATAACTTGAATCTGAAATGTATTAAAAAGTAAAATCAAAATATTTTTTTTCCATACAGCAGGACTAAACAAGAAATGCTGTATTCACATCATATGGAGAAAGAACTAAAGGTTTATTGTAACTTCGGGGTAAATATTTGCAAAGCTAACCATTTATTTCTATGTGCATTGAAAACTCAATATTCCATTTGTTTGCATTTCATACCAAAAGATAAGAATTTATTACCCGGATTCGTTCCTGGATCAAGCTGTCTGGCTCATAGGCAATTTAGATTTAGTTGTCGTTCAATAAATGTTTGCCATTTTAAATATTTGAAAAAATATTTTAATCAGTGTAAAAGAAATATGATCAGAAATCAATGGTACATTTAAGGGCGGAAAATAAAAGGGAAAGATTTAATTTTCTGTAAATATGGTATAGCAAGGGTAATTTTGGTTTAAGACAGTAACAAACCAAGACTGTACTGTACCAAGACATACACCAAGATCTAATATTAGAAACTTTGATGTTTGATTTACAAGAACTAGAAGAACATCATCAGATACTTTCATATAAGAGTACCGTGGCAAGCCCATAAAAGTAAAGAGTTTACACTGGAGCAGCATAATGTGAGGGAAAACATTTTTCTTCTAATAACATCGATTCAGGAACTAATTTTAAGTTATTATTTCTAACACACTGTATAGGTACAATAAAGGATACAATAAAAGTAAATAGCAATTACATTTATAGCAACTCACAAATTATACATTAGACAAGGAAATCAGTCAGACAATTCCCACATTAGGATGAGGAAGCCAACAATACACATGGCAACTTCAACAAAACAGTCTGAGCACTATTATATGGATAACAAAAAGTAAAAACTGTGTGTATTTCTTTAGTGATCGGTATTGCATATTACAGAAAAGTTATATTAAAACATGGTTAGCATATTATGAATCTGCAAGTACCAGAATTTTCACAGTACAAAAAACACATGTATTCAAGCTACACGAGGCATTCAGCATATGGTCAGTACAAATACCAATGACACATGAACTCATTTGTCACTATAATTGTAACTTTAATGGGTATAACTTTCCATAATTGCTGTATAAACTACCATATGAACACTTGCAGATTAAGCAAAATATTACAATGAGTGTCTTAACTACACGTCTTATAACACTATAAATTAGAATTCCTAAAACCTCAGATTAAATAATACTGCATAATCAGCTCTGATAATGACTCCTTACCTAGCAATAACTGCACCCTGTACAGGTTGGACTTCTGCAACAGGTTCTGAAGCTTTGTCCTGGAAGAGCTCAGCTCTTCTGAGGGTGTTTCACTTTGGGAATGCAGTTGCAGCACTCTATCAAGGTACAGGGCAGCCAAGTGAGAGTGGAACTTCTCCTTCTATGCACAGAAAAAGAGAACAGAACAATCTGTCTGCAGTAAAGCAGCGCTGCAAAAGTACCTTAGTATCATTAACTTTGTGCTGATGAAGTGAGTCCAAGGTTCAAGATGGATGTGCACAACAGGTTAGTTCAAAGGGCTTGCATCTATCAACCATACCAAGGATTATAAGTAAGGTTACAGATGAAAGGAATCCATTCCACATATCTTGTACAAGACAAAGCTTGAATCTTTAACAGAATTATTAGGGTAAAATACCATACCCCAATGTTTCACCACTTTGTACCCTGATCTTGCTATATCTCAAAAGCTAAGCACAATTAGTTCAATTAGGTCAACATTGGGAAGGAAAACTTCTAAATCCAGTACTATAGCTGCTACTATAACATCATAATACAGGTGTTTGTGTGTCTGTAAGTGGCACTGTGGGACAGAATGTCCAAAACCGATGCCCCAGTTTGGGGACAGGGGAAATTGCTATAAAAGGTGCCAACATTCAGAAGAAAGATCTGGACTACATGATGAATAAAGATTCCAGAAAACTACTGATAATCCCATGTTCTGGTTTAATTCCACTCTGATCCTGCATATTCTAGGCTCCATAAATTTACCCTTAACCCAAATTTTAATTATTTACTTCTCCTCCTGATCAGCTATGTTGTGTGGCTGCTGCCACAGAAAAGCTGTTATCCATCACCAGGTAGGTGCTGTAATTCTTCAGTATTGGATGAATTAAGATCCACTGAAGTACACATATGTGGAAATCAAAAGCACTATACAAAGTTAAAAAAACACTCCAAAAATGTATACCACTAATGAATATTTAAGATGTAATTGGAGTGTTCATTGAAGCATTTATAGATCATACCATAACTATTCCTGACTTACAAAAATTACAACTTGAAGAGTGTTAGGTCTAGAAGGTTGTGTCTAGTCTACTGAGTAACATTATGTAAAGTTAGGAAATGCATAAAATGATGATGTTTCATGTTTTGTCTAACTACATTTCTCTCCCTTTTTCTTTTTCCCCCTTTCTGGGGTTTAAATAAATAAAACAAAGTCCAAATATATACTAAATTCTGTATCTGAGACAGAAACAAAGCCAGGAGTTCCTCTGGAACCTTGAATGTTTTGTCAAACAGTGACAACAAAAATAATTTAAATCATTACCTGAATGTTTTTTTCAAAAACAAGGTGTTCAAGATACAAAATGATGGCTTGTGAATATTTATGTAGGTATTTGATGACATTGTCTGGATTCAGTTTGCCTTTCTTCTCTTCATCCTCTGGTCTCTTTGTAAAAATCTGAACACCAACCTAATGTAGACAAAAGACAAGATAAGATTCACATGAGCCCAGATTTGTGATTTTTCTATCACTTGATGCTCAGAAAAGTTAGGTAAAAAGCCTTCCCATGTTCTTGAATTTAAAATTTTCTAAGTTACAGTCTACAGTAACCAAGTAATGAAGATGTCCTTGAGTAAAAAGGTCTTATTACAAATACAACATAAGTTATTTGTCAAGGGTTTTCTGCGCATTGTGCTGTGGGCATCATAGTTAACAATACAAAAGGTCTCAATTAGTTCATAGTGTGATTTGATACCTTCTAAGACACAATCTTGATCAATAATATACGTTTTTGTATAATACAATATTTTTATATCATTACGACAACATAGATATTTGATTCTCTGCCACTTACACTCATTTATCTTACACACCTTTCAACATCTTGGTGAGAATGAGAAAGCACTAGGCTGTGTGTTTTGTTCTTAATTTGATCATTTCTAGAGACAAGTTAAATGTTCAGCAATGAAGGGTACAAAAGAGACCAAAAATAGTCACTTAAGAGACGGCAAGAAGGAAAGAGAAAGAATTACAGGAAGAAAGATCTGTAGGAAACATAGGTATAAACAGTGTTTATCATACTTTACATAATAATACAGACCTTTTCATTTTTTTGCAGAGCCCAATCCGCATATTTCCATATTAGATCTTGCTTGGAGGAGAAGGTGAGGAAATCCACTATGTATTCATACAGATCAGCTCGGGTATCATCGTGGAGCTCTCCATTCACTATCTGCATCCAAAGCTAGAAAATCCAGGAGAGAGAGACATCACCGAGGGAGAAATAGTAAATCCAATTGCAATTACAAATGTTTAAAAGTGTTCTACTTGGCTCTTCGCTGAAGGAATGAAGCAAGAATGCAAAGACAAAATGAAATGCCAGTTCAACTCCCTTTATTGAAAAAGGAGATTAGGAAATGAAACATTGAGTGAATTATTTAAAGGGACCTATATCAAACTACACACACACAAGCTCTGGTTAGTTTTTTTTTTCATACATGAGAATCTTAACCTGAAAAAGAAAATGTGCTACACACTTTGCATTCTATAAATGATTTGATCAAATGCCAATCAGCAGAACTAGACTGCAAAGCAGCAACCCGGAGATAAACACAGCTTAAAATGTTTACACTGTTTAAGAAAATATCAGAATATAAATTAAAACAGATGTGACATACATGACATATGATGACCAGTGTGTAAACTACAGTGCCAAATAAAATTACTGGGTCAGTTAAATCAAATTGTATATATATATAAATTATATATAATATTAATAGTTTGCTTTGCACTCAAGCAAATTGAATTAGTGATCAGAAGATCAATATGGGAAGGCACACTGGTACAATGATCATCGGCAATGGACTGGTATCCACTCCAGGATGTACCCTGCCTTGCACCTGTTTTGTGCCAAGATATCCTCTGGCTCCCCCATGACCTGGTATTGAATAAAGTGGTAAGAAAATGGATGTATGGATGGAAGATATACATCCATTACATATACATCTTCCATATAGGTTGCCTGTCCCTTTCACACAATAACTGCATAAAGTCTATATACTGTATGAGATGCTGTTTAGTGATTACACTTGAAAAGTTCTGACTTGAATTTTTTTCAGTGTGAAAAATGCATGCCCGCTTGGATTTAAACCTGGAGACTGACTTGACCAGCCTGAGATATTCAATTTTTTCCCCCGATAAACTCCTTGGATTCATTGGCTAAATGCTTGCTTATGAACCAGTTCCAGTCTTCTATGCCTCACAATTTGCTAGGAGAGCCAGGAGAATATGGGATTATAGTGACTGAAAAGACAAATATGAAGCTTTTCCTAAGTTTGAAAAGGATTAAGTGTGGAGAAAGGAAGGAACAGCAGATGCTCCAAAGAATGCCACCTCATCTGGGAGGTATACAGATTCAACAATTCATATAGAATAAGAATGTACTACACAGCATGGATTAAGAAGTTTACCACCCTACACCATCATGAGAGGTGCACTGGTCTTACCAACTGTTTTAATTGAATAAAATGCTGATTCTTCACAGTTCTAAGTAAAATGTTCTCATTTAATGTTGTATGTTTTTTCCATAAGTGACTACATAGGTCACTTCAAGAAACATCATGTGAACTTTGATCTGATCTCAGAGACTAAATTAAATTAAATTAAATTAAATTAGAGGCTATATTACATGTTTTTTAAAGACTGTTTAGTCTTAAAGTTTTTTATGTCAAAGGTAACTAAATGGGGTTAATTTAAAGAATACACAACATACGTTATCCGAATATATAAGTTATTTAAATATACTTATATACTGATATGCACTGGGTTGCATATAAAATACTGTATACTGGTTAAAGATCTAATTGTTTAAGTGAGTGGGATGCACACTGTGACAGCATTGATACACAGAATATCCCTTTTTTAGATAGTGCCACAGTATTAATAATACAATTTCCAATTGGATGTGCTAAATGCTCAAAATGCAAATGCTAAAAATGTAATACCTGCACTGCAGCATCATCTTGACCATTGTAATGATAGAGAAGTCCAAGTGCAAAAAACCTGAAAATGAAAAACAGAAAATGTATTTTAGTATTATCTTTAGAATCATGTGTTTATTAAAACTTATAGAACCTATTAGTTTTATGTGAAGTTTTGTGCAGCCTGCTCCACAGCGCAGGCCTTACTGCACTGGGGGCGGTGTGGTGGCACTGTGGTTAAGGATCTGCGCCTGTGGCTAGAAGGCTGCCGGTTCGTATCCCGCGGCCGGCAGAGGAATCCAATTCCTTTGGGCCCCTGAGCAAGGCCCTTAACCCCAACTGCTCCAGGGGAGCCGTATAAATGGCTGACCCTGCACTCTGACCCCAAGCTTCTCTCCCTGTCTGTCTCATGGAGAGCAAGTTGGGGTATGCGAAAAGACAAATTCCTAAGAAACTGTATATGGCCAATAAAGTGATCTTATCTTACTAAGAGACTGCCTTGTTATCACAGATGTTTCCTTGAAAGGGATCACCAAATACTGTCATTGCTAAATATTTTCAGTTTATTTTATATAAACAAGGTGAGAGTGAATCATCAATGACTTTTTAACTGGCACCATGTTTATATTGCTTCGTACTTTGCTTCCTGGAATCGGCAGTGTGCTGATGTTTATATTCAGTCCAGGTCTTAGTCAATCAATAACTAAATATTTAACCATAAAGACCTGTTACTTTTTTATACTCATGTTTACATTATATTCATAAACCACCTTATAACACTATACACACACACATCATCTGATAGTGGCAATCATCACAATACATAAGTAGTATACATTAATACATATTAAAAGATTAGATCTATACATAAATCGATGGCTTATACAACTAATGGTACCAAAAGCTTTTGTTTAACTGTTAACTCTCTGGCCCAATCTAAATATTCCAAACTTCTGTGAAATGAATAGGAGATTATAGAGCGGACATGTTCAACATATACTTTAAACTGGTATTTTTAAAGATTTTATGACTTACAGCATATTGTATGAACGTTTTTTTACCGGAGTATGCTGCAACTTCTCACGTTCTTAAATCTCTAGCACTTATTTTATAAATGCAACATTTTATGAAAGTGTTTCTATAAAAATACTTCTATACTTTCATAAAAATACTCCTATAACTAGGAATGCTGAACTAATAAAGAAGAAATAATTTAATGTGTTCTTGGTATCTCAGAATAGTTATTTTGATAAACCCATCCCTGAATGGTTAGAAACCACAAATATAAATGTGTTTACAGTCATGAAAGCACAGCATAATAGATTTGTTATGGTTTTAAAAGAAAATAGTATCACTGACTTCAGAAATTACATTCACATCTCATATTAAGGAATTGTTTCTAAACCCTGTCACCAGTTTGTGTTATAAACCAATAGATTGTTAAGGAAACAATGTCTCCTTATTGACATACTTTTTGTGTTTCTCCAGCCAAGGAACACTGTCCATTAGGACACAAGCATTCTCAGAAACTAACAAATCCAGCAGGCTTTCATGGTTTGCTTCTGCATACAGCTTCAGCAATGCAGTGTCCACGTCATCCCTGTATCCATTGGCTACTTCTGTACTGCGGATCTCGCTCAGATAGCTGATGAGGAACCTCTTGCACTTGAGGATCTTCTTCTGGTCTCCCTGTGTGAGGTGGTTGAGGTCTGCAAACTCATGGAGAGGAGGATGCGAGCGTGTGAAGGTGGAAGTGGTAGGCAGGAGCAGAGGATAGAGAGAAATTAGCTCACGCACGTCCAGATGGCCCTTCCTGTAAGGATCACATAAAAAAAGTTGAACAAAAATACATATCCAGACCTGAAGGTTCTCAAGTAAATCAACATTTCATGGCATATAATCTAATCAAAAGAATCAAAACTGTACCCTGGCTTAGTGATGACAGACTATTGCAGAGTACGTTTTAACATTCACAGGCCATTTAATTGGACTAAATCTAAATGCTTAAGACACTTGTAATTCTAAAGATCAACTCTGCAGTTCATATTCCAAAACAAAGTACATCCCTTTTCAAAAAAACAATTACAACAGGGGGCTTTCCCCCCTCTAATCGAATTTCAAAATGAAAAATAAAAAAAGTGAAAGAGTATTTTAATCATTAAAAACTGTTTCAAAATGATAGAAGGAAAAGTCACCTGAAATGTTCTTTAGCCTCAGAAAATTGAAGCCGTCCGAATTGTATAAATCCTGCTTGCTGGAGAATCCTCCTGTACATTACCTGAACAAAAGAGGGTAAAACATGTTAGCAACAGCAGTACCAGCAATTGTTAGCAACAGCAATTGCTTTCAAATATGTATATCTATAGTGTATTTTTACTATCATGAGGTGAGCACACTCTTTTCAATTTATGAAACACAGCACTGCGTATGACGTCATGCTTCCTTACTGATTTTTTCCAGATTTGGAAAATACTTTAATGTTGTAATTCAACTATATTGTTCACAAACTAAACATGCAATACCATAAATATGTAAACCTAACTACTGTTTAAATAATCTATTTGATTAATACATTCATGTGGGAATGGCTCTCAAAATGACACTCAATGTAGGGGACAGCTTCTGACAGTTAAGACACTTAAAATGTAATGGAACACTAATGCAGTTGAAAAACATATAAAAAAAAGACCTGAAATTTATCTTTAGGAATGTTTCTTCGGGCTCCCTCAGCCAGGACAAGAGCTTCTTCCACTCTGTGACTGGCCAAAAGGTCCTGGATCTGTCTCTCCAAAGGCAAGGGTACCAGCACATATACTGCTTTTGTGGTGGTTAAAACCACCTTCCCTGTGGTAAAACAAAAAATAGGACTACCATAAAACAACATGGATAGAACGAGGAGTCACAACCAGTGCCATCAGAAAGAAAGGGAATGAAAATCTGGAAAGCTTGCAACAGCAGTTTAATCAGTTCCAAAGCAAAGGCAAGATAAAAGTCGAGTTAACAAACTGACCCCAGAACAGCATGCATGAGCTAGATAAAACCAGCAAAAAACCTGGTTCAAGAATTTGGGTAGAGACTGCACAACACTCCACAGGAGCAAATTGGTATAGTAACAGAACCTGATTAAAGAGCAACTTTACCAGGCTTCACACCTGTCTTTTGAACACATGGTTCTGCCTCCTTTGTAAACAACCATAATCTAAATAAACCTCCAACCAGTGAAATATATGAAAATAACTAGGCCACAAATTGACAAATACAAATAACCATGGATGCCAAGCATAAACATTACGCATAGCGTTTAAAACTTTGGCATTTCAGCATCCCCTTACATCCAATTTTACTTTACTTTAAGCTCCACTCTCTTGCTTTGATGTGAATACACAAAACAAGCATGTCAACAGAAAAACGAAGTAAGTGGGGCAACTGTAAAATAGATATGAACAATATTCAGGAAGACACAGGGATATTAGGGCTGGGTGCTACATGAGCATATCGGGAACTCTGAAGATATTATAATGTCTGGACTTTAAATGCCTGACTTTTAACAGCAGACGAATTTGTCAAGTGAAAGTACAAAAAAACAGCTACCGCTATACTTACCATTGAATGAATGCCTAACGTACCTTACAACTGTTCAAGGCTTTCCAATATAAGGACAGGACCAAAAGCTTTCTAAGCTTTGAATCTTTGAAAACACTTCAGCAAATGTTTGTAGTGTAGCTTTAAGAGAACTATGATATCATTGTATGATAAAATGTAAGTACATTTGAAATATACAGATGATTACAATGAACACTTTTGGAGCAAATGCTGGCTGGTAATCCTTTATTTTATACAGAAGAATGAAGTACCTTCAAAATCCTGTAATATATGTCCATCCCTAAAAGAAAGGGTTTGCTTCAGCTGTTGGTCAAGCATGCTATGCACAGTGATAAATCCCTCATCCAGAGCCACCACATAGGGAAAACAAACAGCAGCTCCAATCACATTCTCTGACCAGCGAACAGGGGCTCTCTGAGAAATTCCTGCAGCTGTGGCAAACATTCCTGAAAAATACATAAAAAAAACAAAATTATTTTTTAACCCTTAGAACCCATATTTTTTCCTTCATACTGCGAGAAGGATGAAGTTAGGGCACAGTCCTAACTTGAATAGTCAATGTGTAGACAATTCTTCTGTTCTCCACAGTTTGAAACTGTAACAATGAGCTTTTTTTTTTGAGTGATGCAGCTTTATGGAATGGGATAACATGGCTACATTACTGCAAGCAGGAGTACATAGGAAACGTCTTATGTTTTACATGTTGGACAAGTACTTTATTAAATACAACTTTCAAATGACTGAAAAACCGTCTATATAGCTAAATCAGTCACATTGTATTTAATATTTAATAATGTTGACAAAAAACTCCTACTTATGCACTAGTATCAATATAGTATATAGACCACACTAGTATATGCTGTAAAGAAAAGCATAAATATTGCTTTATAAAGTAAAAAAAATATACAGCTTGTTAGGTAACAAATTACTTGCGATTTCTACATAGTAAAGAACATGTTAAAGAAAGATCAAATGAGAAAGATACCATGCATCAGAAGACACTCATTACTTATAACTACAACAGATTCACAGTAACTTTCATAAATTGTCAGGAGCACAGACAATTTATTGAACAAAAAAGCCAAGTTCATTGCTGACTAACATCTGTCATTTATAGGTGTGTGTACATCAACAGGGGTGTGTACTGCGAAGGTCAAAGGCTATTAGCATGTGGCCACAGCTGGAAGCAATACATTAGTATTGATGCATCTCTCAGCAACACATCTATTGCACCCGGTTGTGGATGGTGTCTTGTGGGATTCTGTGCCATTCCATTTGTAGAGTCTGGACAGGCATGTATCTGTTCACTGGTCTCTGAGCCCTAGATGCTACACATGACCACAGCACATCCCGTACATATTCAATGTCTGACAAGAAGGGTATCCACTGTGCACCTAGAACATCTTTATATTGCAAGAAATGTGTTGAGCACCATAAGGATGTGCAACGACTTTCTGTAATGTTGTCGCATCAGGATGAGCCCACAGGAAACACAGAGAAATCCATAGGCCTCATCAAAATAGCACAGGGTACTTAGGACACCATAAATCACTGCAAGTGGGGTTCTGTGGCACAGCTCGGCCACAATGGAATTCCTCTTCTAACAACTCCACATGAGGTGGAGGTGGAACATACCAATTGCATGAAGGTCCGGTTCTCTTAACACACAGAGTTCATTGGATCATTAGGTTTTCCTCCTAGATTTTCACCAGTGCTAACCCAACAATCACTAATGCATAATCGATTGATCAAAATGACGCCAAAACATTTGAGCAATATACAAAAGTCATATACTTTATTTTTCTAAAAATACAAGCATAGGGTTACGTTTCTTTTGATGATCAGTACACAACTTAACGTTGTGCTTCATGCATTAATGAAATGGAAGCAATAGGGGACATAAAGACAAAGGGTGTGGAAAATAAAAGTGAAATACACAGAGCTCACAAAATAGAATAGTACACTGCATGATGAACTAAATGTAATCTACACTTCATTTGACAAAACAGTGATCTTTCTACTCTCTTTGGTACAACTTGCATATCTACAATAAAATAATCCAGCACCCTTCCATCACAAACGGCTGTAGCTACAGATTTTGACCTCACTCAAAAGATAAAGAAATAAATACAAGTGTGCCTTTAGCACAGATAAAAACTTTGTCACTCACTGAACTGCAAAACAAATATTCACTCGTGCTACCCTCCTTTTCTTAAAACATTTATGGAAAAATTGTGCCAACCTTTAACATTATCTACATTCCCAAAATTCTAAAATCTTCAAGATATAGGCTTAGTAAGTAAACAATTCATTCACACAAAAAGATTAAGTTTTTTTATGAGTTTTATTTGAGAGAGTTATATCCAAATTGATCACATTTATGAATGCGACACACAAATTCACTGTTGATATTACTTCTTCTATTGTGTTTTTTATTGCTATAAATGTTTGTGCCTCTTTTTGCTTTAGCAAAGCAGTATGTACCTCCTAGACAGCCTACTCTTGTGTAACACAAAAAAAATATGTAAAACTGCGAATTTGTGGTCTAATAGAGGACTTACCTAAACCTCCAGGTGCAGCTAACAGGAACTCTTCTCTTCCTATTCTCTTAACTATAGGTTTCCTTTCTTCACTGTCATAGGGAAAAAGGTCCTGAGAAGCTCCAGTGTTGTAATTAAGGATGATATACTGTGTTGTTAGTGCCAAACACAGGAAATAGCCATCCAGACCAATTGCAGACGGCTGCTCTGGGGTGGACAATTCTTTAACAATCTGAACACGATCCTCATAAACCATGTAAATTTGTATGGTCCTTTTCTTGACGGAAATAACACCAATTTCCACACAGAAGGGGTCACCATTGACAGGGTTCTCATTCACGGTAAAAGTGACAACACCTTTGATTTTGGCCCCGGACGGAACAGGCTCCAAGTTCAGCATGTTGACAACCATTATGGTGTTGTCGCAGAGTACAATTAGCCTATTCAGGGCAGAAGCTGCCTTCAGCTCATTCACTGGCTTTTTGAGACCCAGATGTCTCTGCAGTTGCTTTTGAGCTGCAAAGGCCGGGTTCCCTTTTGATGAACTCTTCTCTTCGAGCAGGAAGTGGTGGAGAAAGCAGTCATTGGTCCCAATGTAGATGTTTTTGCCACAGCACTCGATGCACTCTATGTTGATGCGGGGTTTGTCTCCCATCAGGAGCTCTCGCTCTACCGCGAGAACAAGTTCAAAAGCTTTCACACTCATGCTGTCACGGTCATCTACTGGGGAAAGAAGAAAAGAAACTTTTCAGGCCCAAAATCACCAGACTACAACAAATGAAGGGTCCAACACTTATATACAGTAACTTCTGGCTTACCATTAAGGCAAAAGGGCTACAGGGTTGCAATCCATAGTCTATTTTCATTTCTTCCACTGTTAGAACTTATCTTACTAGAAACATATTTACCATTTTGATCTATTAAATAATTTCTTCTATGACATCAAAAACTACAAACATTCAAATGAAAACAATCAAATACACATGCAGCCTCTATCACAAAACAACTCCTGAAAGCACAGGGATCAAAGCAGTATTATCATCCAAATCAGGGTGATGGGGGAGCCAGAGTTAATCCTGGCAATCAACAGGTGCAAGGCAGGGCACCCTGGCAGGGCTGCCAGTCCATCGCAGGGCAGACAGACACAAACACAGACATGTATACGCTCAAACCAGGGTCAATTTTCCAAGAAGCCAATTAACCTACCAGTAGGTCTTTGGACTGCGAGAGGAAACCCAAACATGAACACAGGGAGAACATACAAACTCCACACAAGCAGCACCCCAGTGCTAACCACTGTGCCCTCCTCAATGGAATACTGTAGATCTTATTTCAAAATAAACCAGCACTCCTTAGCTCTCAATGGCCAAAGATGGTCACTCATGCTTTGACTATCATCACACTTACTAAATTGATGAATACTCTCATGTAATCTTGGTCTTCAAAAATGGATAATGTAAGGGGGACCTGCTGGGCTGTGGCTCTCCAGAGTCAGGGTTGTTCATCCCTGATATATACAATAATAAGTCCCTAACCGTGTTTTTACAATAAAAGCTATATCTAACCAGTCTGTGGAGAGCTACAATTTTCTTTTTATTTAAAATGATTCCATCCTGCTATATGCCTCGACTAATAATTGCGTTTAAAACAATATAAAGTGGCTATTTTTAAATGTGAAGGATTTTAAAGTATTTATCAAGCTCCAAAAAACTTTTTTTCAGGACAGACTATCAAAAGGAGCATAAACGTCAAGGTATGCAGTGCAATTTAGCATACTCGATCTCAGACTGACGTTATTCAAGCATTATTCCTTACATTTTTACAGTAAACAAATGGAGAAATTGTCGAAACGCAACAATAAAAAACACAACATCCCCAAAGTCGTGAACTAAATACAGACACTGCAAACTATCAGCTAAAATCCTCACTCAGTACATCACGTGCTTTTGAAGAGAGATATTGGTTGTTGTAAGCAGGGGTCCTGATGTCTGAGAGATAAGGGCTACTGAACATAAACTATAAACAAATGGATGCTTTTAATGGTTTCTAATGCAAACTATATTTTATTCACCAAACAATTCAGTGACGGCATTATCTGCGAGTAAGAAATTACTGGAGTTACTCAGAGCAGATTTGAGCAAATCTACAAGACACATCCTGCAAATAAAACTTTCGCACAGATGCCCGGATAACTGCATTACATGTCGAAATCAAGGCTTCGTGTTTCGTAAAAAGAAGTCAGGTACTTGAAGAACCTCCTAAAAACAGTCACCCGTAAAATCTGTGATAAAACAATGGTTGCGTGCTGACAGGCTATCAGAACCAAAAAGACAAAACAGTACAAGGCTAACTGAAAAACCAAGACAAACACCCAGAGTCTGGTTACAGAATGAGATCCTAGAATATTGATAGGATAAGAATACCCAGCTGCTTTTTTGATTAGAGCCTTGTCGTAAGAGATCTAAAAGCACTTGCTCTTACCATTTGCAGAATGAATTGGTTTGGCTTTTGGGAACAAAATTACTCTGACGACAGGCAGGCCTGCGGTCGGCAGCACATACCTACAAATTCAATCACAGACACAAAAAAACAGTGTGTGGAACGGATTTCTTACCCAGACCTTGTGTGATATAATACGATTCTAAAGACGATAACGTTTCACGGCCTCTTATTCCTCACTCTTCTCTTCTTTCCCAAGCTCAGACAGACACACTGGGGTTTGTTTCCTGCTCGCTTTTCCATCTACATCCGGTCAGCTGATGTGTCGAGATTTGGAGCGCCGTGAGTCTGGGACAAACTGGTCGCATGTGTGACGTCAGTAATAAAACAACTCAAGCGGCAGCCTGTATTAAGGGATAAAAATAAACGTAATGCAAATTCTGTTCTGGGCAACCATCTGTCTAAAGAGTAACATGAGCAATAAAACATAACTGTAAGTAGAATAAAATTTCCTTTGGTATGATTGGGTGTGTTTTGACATTGATATTCAACTTGTAGCGGAACTTTTGACGTTTTACTACAAAGTTGTGGACTTCTCTAAGAAAGTAGACGAGTTTAAGACTTTATTGTTTTTCATTGTTTCTATAATTACAACAGGTATGTAAAGGTATTATTTTCTGGCAATAGTCACCGTTTCGATCTTGGGAAGACAGAGTTAAAATAAGCAGATGATCTGAGCCGCCGAGCATTGTGGGACTGGTTGGTCTGAAGATGGAAATGGCGGATGCTTATGATGCAAGTGGAAAGAAGGAGAAGAATAACGAGAAAAGCGTCGTGAACACAGATCTCCTCTTACACCCTGAGCTGCTTTCTCAAGACTTCATTCTTTTGACGTTATACGAGGTCAGTGGTAATGTTTGTATTCCAGAGGACAATTTATCTGCAGGTTATATATCAATTCAACCTCGAGAGAATTGTGATGTGCAAGCTTTGTAATATCGATTCACCACAAAGTTAGGGATAATGAATCTACAGTTGAAGTGAATGCGTGAAGTAGTTTTTCATCACTCCTAAAAAGAATGATATTATGACAATGATTGTCATTTCGTACTAAATGAAAGCGTTTTACTAAATGAAAGATCAACGCTGGAGTATGCTTATGAACAGCATTGCGATTGTTTTATCTTGGTTTATAATTTGTTGTTTGACCATATTAGTGTCAGTCTGTCTACGCTAAAGAATGTGCATCATAATTCACTGTCAAAAAAGAATGACTTAAAATAATTACAGACTCACACCATACCGTTTTTGAATGTTGGTAATTTAAATGCAAATTGATGAATCCGTTTTCCGTATTTACGTGCTTTAATTAGTCCAGATCATCTGACATGTATATTGAGTAAATTATTCTCCTCCTTCTCTTTTATTTATATGAAAGCTTATTTCTGATACAGATGAACTGTCATTAAATAGACCTAAACCTTTGCATTCAAACAGTTCTGAAGTTTGTCCAACCCAAGCATTCAGGTACCTTAATATACAGGGAAAAAAAGGAGTGTAAAAGTTTTTATTCCTTTATGGTGTAACTTAATAGTGGAATGCTTTCAACTAAGCAAGTTTTGCAGTGAACAAATTAATATGAATGGGATCAAAAGTATTTATCAGCAGCATCATTTTTCATCGTTTATCTGCTGAGCATTTTGTGATGGTGCTAGAAATAAAACCATTTTTTGATGCTGTAATGATGGTAACATTCTAGCTTGAAAAAGTAATGATTTGTAGGCAATATGTGCATTCAGCATGAAATAAAACAAAATCCAGGTAATATGATCTGTTTTCGGTATGGCAAAAGTTGAGCAAAATAGCATATTCATTTAAGAACAGTTTTTTTAAATTTAACATTTTCTAGACGCAATCTATAACATCTTACAGATGGTTCTGTGTAAATATATATACGACTGTAAGATGTCATTTAACCAAATCACTTTTCCCACAGAAAAAGATCCCTGTTGAAAAAGAGAAAGAGGCAAACAGAGACCACCTCACAAACTTGTACCTTCAGCATGTTATTCCTCTGCCTCAGAGAGACTTGCCCAGTAGCCGCTGGGGGAAAAGAATGGAAAAGATTCGGGCGCTCCAATCTCCAGCTAACAGGTCTTCACAGCAACAGGGGTACAGTGTTTGTTTATCTCATGGTAAAATGTTACCTTCCCACAATAAATTAGATATGAGAAAACACACATTAGTCATATGCCGTGGATTAAAATAGTTCATCCACTCGAAATCTGATACTTGCTTGAGTGATTAACAGATTAAAGTGTTAAGAAAATGTTTGGTTGGTTAAACTCAATAAATTCATAAATCTAAGAGATGTGGAATGCTAACACTTGTCTATGGCTGTATTTGATTAGCACTTTTATCTTTTTGTAGTTCTGCGTGTGACAATTCTAGAAAAAGACCCCTGATAGTGTTTGATGGCAGCTCCACAAAAACAAGTATTAAACTAAAGAAGACAGAGGCTGGATCTGGAGCAGTGGATCGTTTGAAACCCCCACCATCAGGAAACCTCACCAACACCATTCGCAGACTGTCAGGTCCATCAGCCAATTGCTCCTTGGATGACTCCCACAGGAGCTCTGCCAATCACTTGAGTGGTAAAGAAGAGGCGCAGAACAATGTTGCAACCATTCACAGGAGTCCCACAGGAAATGGAAAAGCTCCGTCATCCACACTCCCAACTGGAGGCACAACTATCAAATTAAAGAGAGTAGCACCCAAAGAAGGAGAGTCAGAAGCTACGGTATGTGAAGTCTATGCCCCTGCCATCTCAGTGTCTGTATACATTGTTTTTTGTAGTCGATTAAAGCAAGAATTTGACATCTCCATGAAAACCTGGAAAAAGAAAGTCAATTTACAAACCTGGAAAAGAAAAACATTTTATGATAGGAAACCACAAGTCATTTTGAAGGCAGCCCCATGCAGGAACACCATTTCACCAAATGTTTACCATTTGTAGCTAGACCACCAGGTTTGGAGGCAAGTGGCCAAACTGTCCTTGAACAGAGGAAATTTCCAAAAGAACCTATGCTTGCCCGAGAGATTGGGTGGTCTAGTGTGGTTAGAAAAAGCTTATGAGGCGCATATCTGAAGTAATTTGTGGCCATATTTGTATATACAACAACAGTGTTTCAGATGTTAATGATTCGCTCATTAGAATAATGCTATATTTAGATGGAATTGACCAAATTATTTTTAAACGGCAGGAGTTGGTAATACAAGCAATATATAAGCGGCAAAGAGGTAATACAAGCCATAAGAGGTAGCTTGTGGTCAGGCATCCATCTTGTTTTACACAGTAATCCCATTTTCACATAAATGAATCCTCCTGAAACTATGAAGTTGATCATATTAATCAGATGAACAGTTTTTTAAACAGAAGCATTTTGAGTGATAGGCTTTGTTCCTCAAAACAAAAATAAATGCACCCTCGTTCCCCGTGTAAATTTGGAAAAGATTTTGATTGATTCATTTTGTAAAGTTTCAGTTTATTTAGTGGTGCAGTTCATAAGAAGATATTGGAAAAACCTTTGAGTATGTGCGTCAGGCCACCATCTAGGACCTTAGTTTTTGTCACACATTTTGTGGCTTATCTGTCACAGCTTAACTGTGTAGTAGTTCTTCACAAGCGCTAAAAACATGAATGCTCACTAGTAGTATTACAGATATCAGACTGTTTTAACCAAAAAAACATTTTAATGTGAGACATGGTTTGTGACATGTGACTGAAGAACAAAATTGTAGGTCGGTTTAGCCATTTTCCAGAAATTGTAATCTGCATATTCCACTTTTAAATGTTTTCTGATTTAAAACTTTATTTATTTCCCAGGGTGAACAGAAGTCACCAGAGCCCAAGAAGAAAATTCAGCATGTTACATGGCCATAATATGGTTCTGTAGGTGTCTGTTAACTACAGAAATGAAAAAGAGAAAAGTCTGTCTTCAAAAAGAGAGTGAACACAGCATTGCCTTTATGGTACTTTACAGTTTGGTTCTGCAGCAGCAAATCACTGGAAAACTAATTACATGACTTGGACTTGTACTCTTAATAAAAATATGTATAATTTTAAGTGCCCTTAAAGTCCCAAATGTTAATAATTTTTTCTAAAAGCCTCTACAAATTGAACGCGTAGTAAGCAATGTAAAAGCAGTGTTTTTACTCAAATGTTTTTACTGTGCAACACTTTTTTTCTGATGTGAATCTTATGCAAAGGTTAGTGATAGTTTTTTGTTATTTTTATTAAAGGTAAATTCACTGTGAACTGAAGTCATAATTGTCACTTTAGCAGTTGAAAGACCTTAACAGCCTAATTTCTTTATTATGCAGTATTTGTACAGACATCACAGCAGGTTACAGCATACTTGCTGTTTACAAAGGACAATTTGTGTCATTTAGACCCTGTTAATGAAAATCAGTTTGGTCAATGTCTGAAAAATAGTCATATTCACACTTACACATGAAAGTTTCTTTGTTTCAAATTCTGACAAGTTGACATCTACTGATATCACTACTGCTGGTATTGCTACACTACTCATGTTATTGTTAACAGTTCTCTGAATGTTATATTTTAAACATGCAAAGACTAGCACTGAAAGGAAAGTTTAAAAAATCATTATTTTTACTGCAGTCTTATTAATAACTTGGCAATTCTAGACGGTACCCATCTTTTAATCAATTTTTCTCTCCTTGAAAATGATCTAATTTCACTGCTTCTTGAGAACAATTTGTCCAGCAGCTTCAAAAACTGAAAAGTATTTTCCAGACTTTAGTGGACCTTTTTTAAAAAACGTGTCTTCTGATTAACATTGTAAACGTACTTTTCAGGGTTTTAAAGTTTATGAAGTTGGAGATTTCAACCTGCATTCCTGTTTACAAGACACCAGGTTATGGAGGTATCAGGATTTTAGGAACACTAAAACCTCAGTTTTCGCGAGTTCTACATTCGCAGTTTAACTCGGTGCGAAATTATTGGTGACTGTTTTATCCAGATACGCGGGATAAAATCGCATCTTTTCAGTCAACGCAGTAGGAAAATAGATCCGGCACCCAACTGCCCATCTTCATCTGGCGGATCTACTTGAACTGACTTGCATCGGTCCCTAAAGTCAAAGCATAGTTCGGCAAAGAGTTGACATGTTTATGGAGAAGTGTATCATGAGTTATGCTTTAATTTGCTTTAGGAAAGCGTTAAATGTGTAGATCTTCTATAAGAACGTAATACCTGTATGTGAGTGTTGCGCTGCGAAATAAAAGAAACCTTAAATAGCAAAAACGTCCCCTAAATTAACACAATCTCCGTTCTCGTCTGTCTAGCGGAAAAGGATATCAAAGGAAATCAGACAAACCGTAGGAGTGTGTTGAGACGGAGTACACTTCATTCACTTTTTTCTCCGTTATTTCTGTACTGTAATA